CTGCTGCTACTGCTGCTAATGCTGCTACTGCTGCTACTGCTGCTACTGCTGCAACTGCTGCTACTGCTGCGACTGCTGCTACTACTGCTACTGCTACTGCTACTGCTACTGCTACTGCTACTGCTACTGCTACTGCTACTGCTACTGCTACTGCTACTGCTACTGCTACTGCTACTGCTACTGCAATGCTACTCCTGCGAGAACTGCTACTGCTGCCACTGCTTCTGCTACTGCTCTGCTACTGCTACTGCTGACTACTACTGCAACTGCAATCCGTGACCCTACCATGATAACGTCCACCCAACCATGATGACTTCCACTCCGACGCTTTCCGTTCACGCAGAGCATCCATGGCCCAACCATGACAACGTCCACCCAGACGCCTTCCGTTCACGCAGAGCATCCATGGCCCAACCATGATAACGTCCACCCAGACTTCCGTTCACGCAGAGCATCCATGACCACGCCATGATGATTACATCCACCCAGACCCCGTCCGTTCACGCAGAGCATCCATGACCCAACCATGACAACGTCCACTCCCACACTCTCCGTTCACGCGCAGCATCCATGACCCAACCATGGTAACTTCCAGTCGGACGCTTTCCGTTCACGCAGAGTGTCCATGGCCACACCGTGATGACGCCCAGCCAGACCCCACCGGTTCACGCAGAGCATCCATGACCCAAGCATGATAACGTCCACTCCGACACCCTCCGTTCACGCAGAGCATCCATGACCACACCCCTTAGCCCGGTAACCTGAAACTTGAAGCATTAAACCTTCATGCCAAATCCCAGACGGCCATTAGCCCTGGACGATGTCAGTACTCAAGAAAACTCGAGGCCAAATTTGAAGCCACTTCTTTTGCCATTGTAATGAAACCAGTTGATGTCGACTAGTACGTGCAGGCCACAATTACTTTGGTCTTCAACCGCTCCATTTCGATGAGGCGCACGTTTACGTTGCGCCAGAAGACCGCCTCGTAGCACTCGGCGAAAACGAGTGCTACATTGTGCCTGCGGAGGAGTTCCAGGAAAGCTACTCACTCCTCGTCGAAGTGCCATTCTACAGAATTGTTCATCAGGTGGTGGAACGTAGCGCGCCAATTTGACGCAGGGGCGGGCGAGAGAAGCGCTGCTCTAGATGAGAACGTCTGCCATCTCATGCACGAGGCCCACTGCTTTGAGGACCCAGGTGAGGGCGTTTGGAAAGTGCCAGAGGCATTCAGCTGCATGGACTTTCAACGCCCAGCGCGTAAGAACTATTACCTGAGCACAACGCATTCTCGGCGCGCGTGTGCTAGGACGAACTGCGTATGATTGTTGGAAAACCAACGCTTGAGAATGCAGATACTCAGCAGGTCGGTCCAACGGTCCAATGGGCGTGGATAGCAAGCCAGCCGAGTTCAGTTTTTGCAAGTGTGTCAGGTTTCCGTTTTTGCGGCAAGGAGCACTGCTAGCAGTCGTAGGACACCGTTCGCGACTCGCCATGACTTCGGTGAAGCAACCGTCCTTCAGCCTCGAGGGGTGGAGCAAGCCTCGCACCTAGAGCTTTGCACGCCACTAAAGCTTGCGGCACGCTGCCAGGCTCCGTGCAGCTCGCAAAGATGTTTCCAGCCAAAGATTTGAATAATGCCTCAGCATTGCTGTTGCAGAAACGACCTCGGAATGGCTTGAGAAGCACCGAATGGGGCCGACGGTACGGCTGCTTCAGAAGTGTGATGCGCCAAACAAGCTGCTCTTCGTTTGTCGCTGCCGTATTTCAGGTGGCCGCAGTGGGGATCCACAAACAGCTCAAAATTGCAGGTCCGCGAAACGATAACTCTGACTCGCTGCAGCGTCGCATTCCTTCTTGAGCATCGTGTGGAGGTCCTTGACACCGGTGGGAGCACTAGCTCCGTGCTGCTCATATCTTTCCTGCAGCTTTCACGCCGCACCTTTCCTCGTACCTGACCCACCTTTCCGAGAGAGCGACGGAAACGGACGAGAGAGCGTAATTAAGTCAGATTATGATTCTTTCAATGTTCAGGGACATGTTGAAGAAGTCATGTGAATTATTGTTTTGAGATGTTTGAAGAACAACGAATTTTGATCAAGACCTCTAAACCTTAACACTAAACCCAAAAGCCCAAACTTCAAAGCCCTGAGCCCTCAACCCTGAAACGCCCCCCAGAACCGTGGCAGGAGATCCTCTCGCGGCACCCGACCCTCCAGGAGGGGGCGACATGGTCCTGGCTCCCAGCTGGCTGCGTTGGGGTTTAGGGTTTATGAGGGTTTAGGGACCCCCCGTTCACCCCAAACTCTGCAAAGGAGTGACCGGGTCTAGTGTCGCATGTAGCTGGGTTGCATTGGGCCCTGGCTCCAACTGTGGGAAGGGCAGGGGCCGCGCGATCCAGGTGGCATTGGCGCTCCTGGCTGACATCTGTCCACGCACCAGGTTACCAGCAAGCTGCACGATGCAACGGGTGGAGCTGCCATGGGATGAGGGGTTCTTAAATGTCATATGGCAATGTTCATGGGAAGTGAGTCAGCGGTCGCTGACTCTACTACGAGACTGCAGGGACACAGACCAGCAACAGGATTCTGCAGCACATGGCAGCCCTGAGGACGAAAGTCTTCATGGATGTGCCTTCCCCACGTTACCGGGCTAGGTTTCTTTCCTTGTCTGTAAGCATGCTCAGGGGTCCGCGTCTTTGACGCAGGCTCTGCCAAAATGGAGAGCTATGCGGCTCAAAATGTTGGAGTTCGCGCCTGATCCCTAAAGCCCTAAACGCCAAACCTTAAACCCAAATCCTGACGAAGCCCCCAGACTTCTAGGCTTCAGATCCCAAAACCCAAAACCCTAAACCCTAAACCTTAAGCCCTTGCCCTAAACCCTAAACCCTAAACCCTAAACCCTAAACCCTAAACCCTCAACCCTAAACCATAAATCCTAGACCCTAAACCCTAAACCCTAAGCCCTAAACCCGAAACCCGAAACCCTAAACCCGAAACCCTAAACCCGAAACCCTAAACCCTAAAACCCGAAACTCTAAACCCTAAACTGCGGTTTCTTGCTTGGCTTCGCGGGGGCCGAAAGAGCTTTTTGAGGCGCCAAAGGGAGGCAGAAAGACAAAGGATCCCTGGGGGTTTAGGGTTTAGGGTTTAGGGTTTAGGCTTCGATTAGGGTCTAGGGCGTGGTAGTTTGAGTAGGGATTAGTCTTTCGGATGTAGGGTTCGGGTAATAGTCGCGTAAGTACGTTTGTAAATCAGGCAGCCTGCATGACAGATGATGCCAAACTCTTAACCCCCCAAACTTCTCCACTCCTAACCCCTAAGTCTGCAAATCCCTACACGCTAAGCGCTTCCCCCCCCCCCCCACCGGTCCCCCCAAAGCCCCCCGTTCTGGCTGGGTTTCTGCAACTGGTGTTGTCCTAAACTCCTAAACCCTACAAGCCCTAAACCCTAAACTTTAGGCCCCAAACCCTAAACCCTAATGCAGTTCCGAGGCACTGCATCTCCCACAAGTGGCTCCAGGTGTGGAAGGCCTACACGGGCTGGCGGCGGCCCCAGGTCAACTTGCTGTGGGCAGATGGTTTAGGGTTTAGGGTTTAGCAATGGTAAAGGCCCCAAAATGCCCCAAAACATCTGAAACACCCCAAAGTCCAGTGGACACAATAACGTCCTAAACCCTCAGCCCCTAAGCCCGAAGACCTAAGCCCTAAGCCCTTAGCCCCAACGTAAGCCCTCAGCCCTATCGTAAGCCCTAAGCCCTAACGTAAGCCCTAAGCCCTAAGCCCTAAGCCCTAAGCCCTACGCCCTAAGCCCTAAGCCCTAAGCCCTAAGCCCTAAGCCTTAAGCCCTAAGCCCTAAGCCCTCAGCCCTAAGCCCTAAGCCCTAAGCCCTAAGCCCTAAACCCTAAACCCTAAGCCCTGCATTTAATTGCAAGAACCCGACAATCGGATTCCATATGCCGACCCTCCTTTGATTTCACAACCCCACTCCGGTAATCTCGAAGCCCCCCCCCTCCCGCGCCGCCCCTCTCCTCCAACAGAAACAAAAGTGTAGGGTTTAGGTTGAGGGTATATAGGGTACATAGGGTACATAGGGTATCTAGGGTATATAGGGTATATAGGGTATATAGGGTATATAGGGTATATAGGGTATATAGGGTATATAGGGTATATAGGGTATATAGGGTATATAGGGTATATAGGGTATATAGGGTATATAGGGTATATAGGGTATATAGGGTATATAGGGTATATAGTTTAGGGATTTGTAGGCGTAGGACTTTGCAGGTGTACCAATCATGCACGTTTGTTGCCATATTCGAGTAAAGCTCTAAGCCCCCATTAAGCCCCCCAGTTCTCCACCTCCCAAGCCATAGCCCTCCCGAGACAGACCCTGAACCCTATAAACCCTCTAACCTCTAGAACCCTATGAACCCTAAAAAACACTACAAAGCCCTCTAAACCCCATAAAGCCGAGCCCTATAAAACCTATAACACCAAACCTTATACACCTAACCCCCCCTAAACTCGAAACCCTAAACCCTAAACCCTAAACCCTAAACCCTAAACCCTAAACCCTAAACCCTAAACCCTAAACCCTAAACCCTAAACCCTAAACCCTAAACCCTAAACCCTAAACCCTGTCATCCCAAGGAGTTCGTCCCAGTTGCCGGGGTGGCACGGCTCTTCGCCAGGGCGCCCTGGCCATCGGGTTTAGGGTTTGGGGTTTAGGGTTTGGGGTTTAGGGTTTAGGGTTAGGGTTTAGGGTTTAGGGTTTAGGGTTTAGGGTTTAGGGTTTAGGGTTTAGGGTTTAGGGTTTAGGGTTTAGGGTTTAGGGTTTAGGGTTTAGGCCCCAAAACCCTAAAACCTTAAGCCCTAAACTCTATATTTGCCCCACATGGTCTGCCCTAAGCCGTAACATATCCTAAACCCTAAAACCCAAGCCCTGGGTTTTTTTCGGGGTGCCGAAGGGCCTTTGCAAATCCGAACTCCGGGTCCGCCATTGAAGAGTCCCTAAACGACCCTTGACCCTACAAACCTCAAAGCCCTAAACCCTGAACCCTAAACCCTAAACCCTAAACCCTAAACCCTAAACCCTAAACCCTAAACCCGAAACCCTAAACTCCAGAAGCCCTGAGTGCCAGAACCCCCTGAACCTTTTGGCCTTGCCTGCAGAACCTCTAAACCCACAACGCTACTCCCTTACCCGAAGCCCCAAAGGGCAGGCCCTCGTGGTTTTGTTTGGGTTGCAGGGTCTAGGATGTCTAGGGTTTAGGCTTGGGGTGCTTTAGAGGGTTTGCTGAGGAGAGTCGTGAGTGCCTGCTGCGCCAGGGTTTAGGGTTTATAAGTTTGGGCCTTAGGTTCGTGCATCCTCAGTACCCTCGTCCCAGACGAAATGCTTGCAAGTCGAGTTCAGCTCCTTGCGATGCACTGCAGTCTATATTCCTTAACCCCTGTAGGTCTGATGTCAGAATGGAAGCACCAGGCAGCAACATACCAAGAACCTGCAGCACCGAACGCTCCTGCCCATGCAGCGCAAGCACATCAACCAACCTGCTAGGACCCCAGAAGAAACCCTTTAACTCAAAAAGGGCACCATGGTTTTTATTCCTAGGTTATTCTTTTGGTCTAGCTTTGAAGCCCAGAGCCATCTGGTCTAGGTCGCCAATCACCCCGCCGGCGGACTCGAACAGAGGCGCTGCAGCTGTGTAGTTCAGCTTGGGAGATCGCTACAAACCTCTTGGGGGTTGAGATTCGGGGTTCCTTGAAATCCCTTAACTCTTAACCCTAAGGGTTTCAGGGTTGATCTAGGGTTTCGGGTCTTCGTCCAGAAAGGGTTGGAGGTTGAGGGATCCCGGATTTAGGGTCTCAGTCCATTGCAACTAAGCCCACATCCCCTGTACCCGAAACCTTATACCCCCTAAGCCCTAAACCCTATACCCTCAACCCTCAACCCTCAACCCTCAACCCTCAACCCTCAACCCTCAACCCTCAACCCTCAACCCTCAACCCTAAACCCTAAACCCTAAACCCTCAACCTAAACCGTCAACCCTAAACTCTAAACCCTAAACCTTATACCCTCAACATGGAGTCCATAGCCTGTCTGCTTGGGAGCCTTAAGGGGGTGAAGGGTGGCCGAGGTCTGTGCAGGGCTCACGGGATCTGAAGGCTGCAAAATTAAAAACAACAAGCGCAGTGGTTCATTGCTTGGGATTGAGGGTTCTTGGGTTGATAGGGTTGATAGGGCCTAGGGTTCAGGGCTTGGGGCTTCGGATTTAGGGTGCCGACGTGGAGGATCCAGCCCTTTTTTTTTGGGTCTTGGACGGGTGAATGTTTTCTTTCCCTCTGTCAACGACCAAGAGAAGGCACTATGCTCCAGGCATGTACTGGCAGAGCCGAGAGGCTAACGGCTCACTCAGCAGGGATAAATGGAGCGTCGCAGACTGAAGGAGACCGCCCTGAGTTTGGTACACATTAGGGCATGGGTGTCAAAATGCCAGCCCTAAACCCCACACACCCAGACCCCAAACACTAAACCCTCAATCCCAGACCCCAAGACCTAAACCTCAAAATCCCAGACCCAAGCCCGACAACCCCCCAAAGCCCCAAACCTTAACGCCAGGCCCTAAACCCTAAACCTGAAGCCTCAAACCTTTAAATCCTCTACCCTAAACTTCCCTAAACCCTAAACCCTAAACCCTCAACCCTAAACCCTAAACCCTAAACCCTAAACCCTAAACCCTAAACCCTAAAGCCCTATCCTGTGCAGAAAGAGAGGTCCCGAGCGGGCGCGCGAGCGCTGCCACTCGGGCGACTCGGGTGTGGCCGGGGCCCTGGGATCTCGGGTGCTTTGTTAGTTTACTTAGGGGCTTTACAGGTGTTTCTGAAGGCTGAAGAGGGTCTTACAAGGGCGTTTCGTGGTTTAGCCGTTTTTTTTCGAGGGTTATAAGACTTTATAAAGGTACTCGGTTCTCCATTGGCCTAAGGTCTCGGAGGCCTTTTCGAGAGCCACATCTCTCGCACGGCCACGGCCTGCTTGTGGAGCATCGGAGTCTGAATAGCTTTCTGAACCATCTTTCGTATCAGGGCTACGCAGTCCATCAGCTTTCGACCTTCGAAGAGTCAACAAATCGTGAGCCAAAACCCTCGGTGAGGCTTCGGGTCTTAGTTTGTTCTTGCGAAGCACAGTTTGCGTCGGCCACCATGGCCTTCAGATCAGTAGTGTGGACCGCGCTGCTTTCGACGGTCATTTCGCTCTGGGCATGTCCGCCCAGCTTTGGTGTCCCAGCCTCGAGGCAACAGCCTGTCAGCGTTCTCAGGGAAAGAACCGGGCTCAGCATCAGCAAGAAAATCATCGAACCGCTCTTCAAATTGTCGCCCAAGGAAGCACAGCTAGCGAGCAGAATTTGAGCGCTGGGCAAGAAGGGCGACTGGCAAGGTGCCCGTCGACTGTACGGAAGCTACAAAGGTTCGGCTGTCCCAGTGCTCAATGCAGCCATGCAGGCAGCTTACCGCTGCGAACAGTACCAGGAAGCAGCTGAATTGTACAAAGAACTACGGAATTTGAATGTCGGGGTGGACAAGGTCAGTCTACATGTGGGCCTGAAAATTTTCGGAAAACTGCAAGATCCAGGCATGGTTGACGCGATAAGGGCTGAGACTTCTGAGCGAGGATGGGTTGACAAACTGAAATGTGGTGCCCGCATTGATGCAGCAGCTTACATGGGGGACGTTGAGGAGGCAGTGAAAGTGCTAGACATGATGCTTACACGGAAGATTGAGCTTGACGTGTACAAGTTCAATTCAGCAATTTTTGCTTGTGCCAAAGCAAAAAAATCCCAGCCACAACGAAGCCATGGACCTATTTCAATCCTTGCTGGACAACGGCTTTTCACCGACGGTCGTGACGGTCACCAACTTGGCACAGGCACACGTCAAGGGAAGTCTTGAGCAGATCCAGCGTGTCCGTGCCATCATGAAAGAGTACACTGTCCCTTGCAATCGAGTTTTTGCTGAGTCGTATGTGAATGCCTTGGTCCAGGGGCATCGTCTGATGTCAGCTCGTACCTTGCAGGCCATCGCTGCGAAGCTTGCGGACCTTCCTGAGCGTGAAGGAAGACTGAAAGAAGCTCAGAGCGCGCTGCTCGAGATCCAAGCCAGCAACGTCGAGTTGACCCCACTATGCCAGAAAGTCCTAAGGTATGTGAAGCAAGCGGGCTTGTGAAGCCATCGAAATGCCTGCCGGGTGTTACAGTTCTGCACAGTTATGCTCAGCTTCAAGAAGATGCGAAAAAGCAGCAACCCGGCACAAGAAGGCCTGGAAATTGCCATGTCTTGGCAAGGCTTTAGGGTTTAGGGTTTAGGGTTTAGGGTTTAGGGTGTAGGGTTTAGGGTGTAGCTCAGGCTCAAGCCACGAATGAGATGCTCATGAAGGGATGAGCAGAACTCCATTTTCGAGTTCGCCTCGTAAATCGGTTGTGGTTTGAATAGGACCGCGATGGAAACACTAAACTCTAGGTGCGGTTTAGCTGTTGGGCATCCGCTGTTGGGCATCCGCTATTCGGAAATGTTCTTGTCTGTACAAAAAGCCCAATGAATATCGAATGGTGTCGAGTCTGAAGTCCAGAGACCGCGAGGTGAACCCCAAAGGGTTTAGGGTTTCGAGGCAGCCCAAACAACCCCTAAAACCCCCCTAAAACCGAAGAGAGCCCCCTAAACCGAAGAGCCTGCTCCTTCAGAAGGCTACCAGGATGCCCAGTACTGCCCTGATTCCCTTTTTTTGCGGGGTTAGGGCTCCCTTGTGCCCCTTTAAGCAAAATGGGTACCCTTTTGAATCCTGGGTTGCTGAGCATCCTAGGCTTCAGGCCTGCATCCAAAAATTGAAGGTTTGGGCACTGGCTTAGGATGAAGTTGCTTCGGGGAATTCTGTGCCCTGTTATTTGCGTTAAGGGAGTGCAGATGGAGCCTCATTCCCTAGACCCTGGACCCTGGACCCTAAACCCTAAACCCTAAACCCTAAACCCTAAACCCTAAACCCTAAACCCTAAACCCTAAACCCTAAACCCTAAACCCTAAACCCTAAACCCTAAACCCTAAATAACCCTAAGCCCCAAAACTCCAACCACCAAACCCCCAGGTCTCACTTCCCTTGCACGCGCTGGGTCAGGCTGTCGAGGCGCTATGGGGTATGGGGGTATGGGGGTTTAGGGTTTAGGGTTTAGGGTTTAGGGTTTAGGGTTTAGGGCTGGTTCTACAGGTCCTGTTTAAGTCCTTCTTGAGGCGTGGGCATGGGCTATTGGGAAGAGAGGCCCTAGCGCAGAATTTTGACGAAAGGGGAACCTACCGTATGATTTAGGGTTTAGGGTTTAAAGTTCGCATGTGGAACTTAAACCCTAAACCCTCAATCTTAAACCTAAACCCTAAACCTTCAATCTTAAACCCTAAACCCGCACAGTGGTAGTTGGTGCTGCGCGGAGCCATGAACCTCCAAGCATTCGGGGTGCCCTAGACTCAACCCTCAAACCCAAAACCCTAAACCCTAAACCCGCTGCCAAAATCATATGTAAATGTTTCAATTTTTTTGGGGGGGGGCTTTGGGGTCATATTCTTTTAGGATTTGGGCGTCAGGATTCTAGTGTTTTTTTGGATCGTAGGGCTTTGGGACGTGCTAATGACAAGTCGTGTTGTGCAGCGCTTTCCGACTATTTATCCGGTTTTGGGATTTTTGGGCTTTTGGGTGTGGGTTTCGGGTTTAGGGTTTCGGGTTTAGGGTTTAGGGTTTAGGGTTTCGGGTTTCGGGTTTAGGGTTTAGGGTTTAGGACTTTGGGTTTTAGGACTCTAGGGCTTTGGGGTTGAGGGTGCAAAAGACAGGGCTCCGTGGAGTTCGATCGCGCGGGCCCCAGACGATGTGCATCAGGAGAGGGGGTTGGGGTTTAGGGTGTAGGGTGTGGGGTTTAGGGTGTAGGGTGTAGGGTGTAGGGTGTAGGGTTTAGGGTGTAGGGTGTAGGGTTTAGGGTTTGGGGTTTAGGGTTTAGGGTTTAGGGTTTGGGGCTTAGGGTTAAGGGTTTAGGGTTTGGGGCTTAGGGTTAAGTTTAGGGTTTGGGGTTTAGGGTTAAGTTGAGGGTTTGGGGTTTAGGGTTAAGTTGAGGGTCTGGGGTTTAGGGTTTGTTAAGGTTTGTGGATTGTGGATTGTGGAGGGCTGAAAGGGGGTTTACGTGCGGGGCTTGGGATGTAACGAGTTTGTTTTTTGTTGGGTACCTGCTGAGTTGTTAGGGTTTAGGGTTTGGGGCTTAGGGTTTAGGGTTTAAGGTTTAGGGTTTAGGGTTAGGGCTGACTTCAGCTATACCTAAACCCTAAACCCTTCTTGTTGGAAGGAGACAGCTTTGGAAGTGTAGGGTTCAGGACCTTTGTAAACCCTAAACCCTAAACCCTAAACCCTAAACCCTAAACCCTAAACCCTAAACCCTAAACCCTAAACCCTAAACCCTAAACCCTAAACCCTAAACCCTAAACCCTAAACCCTAAACCCTACACCCTAAACCCTAAACCCTAAACCCTAAACCCTAAACCCTAAACCCTAAACCCTAAACCCTAAACCCTAAACCCTACACACTAAACCCTAAACCCTAAACCCTAAACCCTAAACCCTAAACCCTAAACCCTAAACCCTAAACCCTAAACCCTAAACCCTAAACCCTAAACCCTAAACCCTAAACCCTAAACCCTAAACCCTAAACCCTAAACCCTAAACCCTACACCCTAAACCCTAAACCTTGCACCTCCACTGCTGCCCTTGGGCCCAAGCTGGAGACCAGCAGGCGCTTCCCGCCTAGGACTTAGAATTTGGGGGCTTTTGGGGGCTTAAGGAATATCAGGGGCTTTAGGGGCTTTAGGGGTTTTTGGGGAGTTTTAAGGTTTTAGAGGTTTCAGGGGGTTCCGAGAGGCTTTTTGGGGGAGGCTTTGAAGCCTGAGCCCTCTCGAAGCATGGTTCGCATCTGGACGCTTTCAGGGGAGGAGCTGGTGCCCAGGTGCACGGATGGGCACCTGGGCACCGTCAAGTCCTTGAAGCAACATCTGCATCAGCAGCATGGATACCCTCCCAGGTTCAGGCAGGCGCTGATCCATGACGGGAGTCCTCTGAATGACCAGGACTCTTTGGAGCCTCACTTGGACCTACAGCTTCTGCTGCTTCCCTTTCAGAGTCCCTGCCGGGCGCGGGCCGACGACCTGGTGGCCGCCGCAGGCACCGGATCCCTGGCCCGCGTGGAGGGCATGCTGATCTCCCCCCAAGATCCGAACTTGACCCTTAGGGATTCTTGGGAATCATTTTTACTTTTCGGGTACTATAATTCCTAAGAAAACTCAGCTAAGATTATACATTTAGTTCTAGGGTTCCAGAGTCAGTATAGGAACAGCCGCACCAGCCGCCGGCCTCTTGCAGAGGCAGCGCGACGAGGCCACCTGGGCGTCGTCCGCTTGCTCTTGGAGGCCGCGGCCGATCCTAACTTGTGCCAAAGCGACGGCGGGACGGCGCTCATGGCTGCATCTCAGTATGGCCACGTGGAGACGGTAAGGTTCCTCTTGGCTTCTCGCGCCCACACCGACTCCACCAACACCTTCGATGCCACGGCCCTCCTGCTCGCATCCTACAATGGCCACCTTGAGATTGTCCGCCTGCTGCTGAGGGCTGGTGCTGACAGGGACCTGGCCTCGTCCACGGGGTCGACGGCCTTGACTCTCGCGTCGCGACGAGGCCATGTGCGGATCGCGGGCCTCCTCCGCGCACCCCCTGACGAGGCTGCCGACTGCTGCGGCGAAAAGTTTTTGCCCGGCTGCTACTGCAGAGCCCCCCCCCCTCGCCCACCCAATAGATGTATGAGTGCGGTATGTAGAAGAATTAGGACCATACATTGGATCTTCACTGGTCTCCTGCAAGCGCGAAGCACTTGGCTTGTAAGGCCCTCGGCCGGAGGGGGTTGACCTAAACAGTGTTACGACAACTAGTTAGTACTTCAGATGAAACTCCATATGTATAGGCTGATCGACCCCTACTTTTGGGCAGACCCTGTAGATCCGCTGTGAAAGTCAGCTTTGACCTTCCCCCTCCCAATAACAAGAGGGACTTGCGACGCAACACATCTCGTGAGTTGACCTACCCACACAATGACTGTTTGTGGGAATGTAATGAAGCGGGGGATTTCATATTAGGGGAGGGATTTGTGCACATTAGTCTCATGGAGAAGCAGGCAGTCCCAACTCTACTCCCTACCCTGCTCTTGCCAGGTTACATTTCAAGAACGTCGGGGGTCCGGGTAGTACCCTACCCTAAACCCGAAACCCTCAAACCTAAACTCTGAACACTAAAGAAAATAGGAACTGATGGTTCCAATGTCCTGGTTCATCATTCCTGAAAGCCCAGCTCGCTGGCTGTCCCACGAGATCAAGCACCAGGTTTTAGGGTTTCAGCCTGTAGGGTTTAGGGATCGGGGTTCGGGAAGGTTGTTTCAGTCATAACGCGCATCTTGGGCCGATAACTACATGTTGTTCTGTATACTCACCCTCTTATACTTAGGAACTAGGCTAACCAGTATGTAAGTCTTTTGAGCAGAATCCTCCCAGTCGATGGCCGCAGGTGCCCTGAGACTTCCTCTGCCCTAAGCCCTAAGCCCTAAACCCTAAACCCTAAACCCTAAACCCTAAACCCTAAACCCTAAGGATGGGCTCGCTTGCGCCTGAGGTGACGGCATCGACGATCTCTTCAACGCGCAGCTGCGTGCAGCCCCCGGCTTGGGTATATCCAGAGAGCCCCTTGAGTGACCAACCCCAGAGTATCCCCACAGAATCCCCGGAGTGCCCAACCCCAGATTGTGTCCCTGGAGTGCCCATTCCTGGCTGAGTGAGCTCGCAAGCTCCTGGCCTGCAGGGTGGGGGGTGTTCGAAGCAAGATGACTCATCAGGATTCGGGAATTGAAGGGTTCGCTCTTCGTTCCCAAGTGGACTCGTCTCATGGCCACCTGCCCATAACCATTCCGAAAACTTGTAGAAGCCGCAAACCCCAAATCCTGAAACCCTTCCCTCCGTGACTATCCCTACCCCTTCCCGCTTTTACTCACTAATCACCTAAAGAAAGAAACGCAAAGTGAGACTAATTCGCTCAGCTGTGGACAAGGAACATTCCTAAGCCCTGGACCCTACAAAACCTAAACCCCAAGCCCTACCCCGCATCCCTATACCCCTAAACCCTGAACCCCTAAACCCTAAAACCCTAAAACCCTAAAACCCTAAAACCCTAAAGCCCTAAAACCCTGAATCCCTAAAACCCGAAAACCCTGAACCCTGAACCCTAAACCCTAAACCCTAAACGCTAAACCCTAAACCCTAAACCCTAAACCCTAGACCCTAAACTCTAAACCCTAAACCCTAAACCCTAAACCATAAACCCTAAAACCTAAACCCTAAACCCTAAACCCTAAACCCAAACCAACAAGAGCCCACGGATGCCCCGCACAGGACGGTACCAGAGCCTACCGGCCCGACCGCCAGAGATCGACAACTCGGATCTGGAGGGCGAGCACAAGGCATCGGTTTAGGGTTTAGGGTTTAGGGTATAGGGTTTAGGGTTTAGGGTTAGGAGGGCGGTTTGGCCCCAAACCCGAAACCCTACACCATACACCCTCACCCTACATCCTAAACCGTAAGTCCGTTAGGGTTTGGGGTTGCGGGGGTTTAGCTGTTTGGATTGCTTGGCTCGAGGCGGCCCAGTACCTGGATGTAGGAATCGAAATCCACAATGAGGCGGAACCTAAATCCTAAACCCTAAACCCTAAACCCTAAACCCTAAACCCTAAGCCCTAACCCCTAAACCCTAAACCCTAAACCCGAACCCCTAAACCCTAAACCCTAAACCCTAAACCCTAAACCCTGAACCCTGAACCCTGGCCCCTGAACCCTGAACCCTAAACCCTCCTAAACCCTAAACCCAAACCCGAAACCCTTAATGGGGTTAAACCCGACACACTGGGCTCCTTGGCAGGATCGCTGCTGGAAGGTTCCATGGGTAGTCAGAGCCATTGCGGTTTAGGGTTTTAAGGTTTGAGGTGTAGGGTTTAGGATTTAGGGTTTAGAGGTTTGAGGTTTTGAGGTTTCCTAAAACCCGCAAGCCCCAAACCCGAATCCCTGCGGTGGAGTGTGATTCTTGGTCGGCCCCATCAAGTGCTGGGGGCCTGGGAAGATGCCCCCGCCAACGCCGTTTTTGTATTTCTCGGAACCAGAGTGGACCCTCATTCCCCTTTGTTCGGGTTTTTAGGGTTCTCTTTATGAACCCCTTGAAACGCAGGGGTGCCCTTTCAGGTCTAGATGCCTCTGAGACATTGAATTCTCAACGCCTTACATCTTAGTAGGGAATGAGGTCATTGGGTACCACGTATGCCTTATATAAACGGTATATGTGGGGGATAGAAGGTACCTAATTCCTCAACTCCCTACTCAGCACCGGTAGGACATTGAACCCGAAACCCTAAACCCTAAACCCGAACCCCCCAAAACCCTTAAAACCCGCAACGGTTGAACATCGTCAAGCTAAGAATCAGTAGGACATCGAACCCTAAGCCCTATACCCCAAACCCCAAAACCCAAATCGAACATCTTGAAGCCAGGGCGAGATGAAGATGAACCTGGTCGAGCATCTGGACTTCGCCCCTTGGAAAGCACCAAGCGTGGCATAAAGTAATCCTACGGGGTCTCCGCACAAAAAACATCCATACGGTGGGAAACATCCCATGCAAGGCCTCCTGAAGCTTCCTGTGCGGCTAAACCCTAGTAGGTCGCAACCCCCCACCCCCACGCAAGGTGGTGTACTCTCGGCGATCCCCTAAACTCTAAACTTTCCCCCGCCCTAAACCTGAATTTTCTACACCTGAACCCCTAAACCTGGGAATCCGGGATTTCAGGAACTCATCCCCGAAGAGATGTGGCTCCGGCTGGTGGAGTGGCGGGGCCCTAAGACCTACCACCCTTGGGCTTCGGGTTCAGGGTTCAGGATTTAGGGTTCAGGGTTTAGGGTCCAGGGTTCAGGGTTTAGGGTTTAGGGTTCAGGGTTCAGGGTTCAGGGTTTAGGGTTTAGGGTTTAGGGTGTAGGGCTTAGCCCTCAGACTTACCAGCCCGGTGGAGTTCATGGGCTCGAGGCACAGAAGTCCTAACCCCAAACCCCAGACCCACCTTGGGATGTTCACCCTTATACTAACAGTCCTTAATCGAGATGTTAATGCAGTTTAGGGTTTAGGGTTTAGGGTTTAGGGCTTACCGAGTATAGTCCCTATTAAGGACTGTTATGTCCCAACGCAAACTTTTAAAGCCCACAAGCCGATATCCCCTGAACCGCCTAAGCCCCTAAACCCTTAAACCCCAAAACACCAAACCTGGACCGTGTGCCGCCTGACTGCGTACTTAGCCAATAGTTGAACTTTATCCTTGCATGTTTCATAGGAAGAATGAAGGTTAACCGTTTTTTTCCTACTTCGTTTATTGGAGAGATAAGACTGTGAGCCTGGTACAAGGTATGGCGGGGGACCCGCACTTCCTCGAAAGGCCCGTGCCCCAAAAGAATGGGGTGTAGTGTTTAGGGTTCACTTTCGGCTTCATTCATCTAAGGTTTAGGGTTCATCTAGGGTTAGGGTTCATGTATCGCCTTTATGCACTACTAAAGAATTTTGAGTTTAGGGGTTGGGGGTTGTATTTTGGGTTTAGGGGGTTAGGGTTTGTTTTTTTCGGATGTCGGCCCCGAAAGGATGCATTGACGTCTTTGCCGTCGGTCTGAAAGAGAGGGGGTTCATCAACAAGCCTCTCAAGAAAGACGAAGCTACCCTAAACCCTAAGCCCAATCAAGGCTTCGATGGCAAAGTCGCTCAAGAAGGTTGAACAGACCTTTGGCGTGAACCACGACTTCGACTTTTGCAATGATGAGCGCATCCCACAAAGCTCATCAACGAGCACAAGTAAGTGCTCAACCAAGCCAAGTTGCTGAAGGCATCCGTTGTGAGGGTTGTGAAGACAAACTTTCGAGAGGTGCTCCTCAACATTGAGAACGTGATGGATTTGAAGCCTTCTTTCGGAAGGAAGGGCTGAACGGAAGACCGCCTGACGAGTGCGGCTCTAACCTTCGAGTTGGTGGAGTTAGGAGTTTAGCGTTTTCCTGGCTTTGGGGTTTCGGGATTTGCTTGAGCTTAGAGTGTAGTGGAGCGGATTGGGAGTGGCCGTTTGTCAGGATTTCCGAGTTGTCCTGTGGGCTTTAGAACTTTAGGGTTTAGGGCGTCTGCTTGCCATTCTCGTGAGCCCCCTCGCATCTCAAATTGCAGTCGGTTGCTTCCCCACTGTGCTTCCTGTAGGTTATGGGATCCTACGCCGCCAGGGTTTTGGGACTTCTGTACTCCCCAGCCCGAAGAAGGCCTACCTTGCAAAGCCTATGTCTTGAAGCCTTGACAGGCCGCAATTGTGATATCTTCACCAGTCCAGGACCCTCGCTCCTAGCTTCTTGCAGGGCACGAAGTACTGCTGCGCATGTCCTGGGTATGCAACGTTTGGTGTCGGCTTGTTTCAAGAATTCAAAACCAAAGCTCCGAAAGTGAGACCCTCAACCTTACACCCTCAGCCCTTAACCTTACATAATCTCAAACCCAAGCCCTCTAGCGCATCGACGGTCAGCGTTGTCAGTTCCTCCAGGCTTATACCGACTCTACCGAAATCAAGGGTTAAGTTAAGGGTTTAGGGTTTATGGCTTGAGGGCAGGCCTGAAGTCGAGATTCCTCCACCCCTACACCCTAAACCCCAAACAACAAAGAATCTTACTTCTCCAATAGCCAAGCTTTCGTTTTGAGGGTGTCTCTATTTGGTGGGGATAGCAAGCTTCGCCTTGTAATCCCCGATCCCATGCCCTAAACCCTACACCCTACACACCGTAAACCCTAAACCTTAAACTCCACACCCTACACCCTAAAACCCTACCCTCAACCCCGCACCCTAAGCCCTACACCGTAAATCCCAAGCCCTACACCCTAAAGCTCGATGTTCCGTGGCAGGTGATCTGCATGGGCCGAGATCATCAGATGAAGGCGAATCGTGAGCAAGATCGGGGATACTGCCAGGGTGTTTTAGGGTTTAGGGTTTAGGGTTTTGGTTTAGAGTTTAAGAGGTCGGCTTAGGGCCTTCAGAAGGTATCTTATGGAACAATAGTCTTGGTAGGCCAGTGGTACCCTTTACCCTTTTTTGGGGTTCCGGGTTCCCTAATGAAGTAACCAACCCCAAAAAGGGTGCCCTCATTATAATGTGGTTACTGGGCTACCATGTAGTTCAGCCTACTCAGACAGGGTCCACGGGCCCTGTAGGTCTGGAAGAGTGCAAGGCATCGCTGAAAGTCTGTACCGAACCCCTACACCCTAAGCCCTACAATATAGGGGCCTTAATCATTTGAATAGGGTTTTGCCGGTTATTATGGTATATTTGTCAAGGGACCGTAAGGAAATAACGTTAGTATCTATTCCGACCCCTCTAAACGTTCGAAGCTGAAACATGCAGAGTCCTTTGGCGATACAGCTTGTGGGGGCTTAGGGTTCCCGGTCCAAGCGCACCACGCTTGTCAAGGGATGAAGACTCGTGCCCCTAAGGTTGTACCCCTAAAGGTTCCCCTTGATATACTCCTAATGTGGCCCTTATATTCCCATAGGGATCCTTAACAAGGGACCCCAAAACGCAAGGGTACAACCTTAAGGGTCCAAGGTAGAACCCCTAGACCTTGAAAGTAGGATTCCTAATCCCTGTCTTAGGCTTTCGGCCCCCATTACCAAAAGCGGTGCCTTTTCAATCTTGACCCTTGAAAGCCCTTGGTGGGAGGTTGAGCTCTACCCGGCTCTGCTGCTTGTTGCAGCTCCGGCGCCGTTTTCAAGGGGTCTCCGGTCGGTGGCTGATTTGAGGTTTATGGGTCGGGGAGGAGCGGGTTGATTCTCAACATCAGGTCATGCATGAGTTTGGGATTCCAGGGTTCATGGCTTCCGGGTTTAGGTGGAGGCCCAGTGATTCAGGAATAACGTTGGAATCACTACCAGAACAGCCGAAACCCTAAATCCGACATCCAAACTCCTGGGATGGCGTTTGATGTGCAGCTGCGTGTAGAGCTTGATGTGTTCCGAGTTGTAATGTCTTGCGCGAAATCCTCCCCGCCCAACCCCTAAATCGGGGCCTTCTGGGTTCCTACCTTCAAGGGTTCAACCCGACTGTGGGAGCCTTCAACCTCCGATGTGATTCTTTGACGCAATCTACCAAAAACCCTAAACCCTAAACCCTAAACCCTAAACCCTAAACCCTAAACCCTAAACCCTAAACCCTAAACCCGTTTGGGTTGTGTGAAGGAGGTTGAAACATTCGGGGGCGTCCAGCCGGAGCAGGGACAGGGCGAAATCCTCAGCTCTAAGCCGCCTCAAGTCGCGACTTGCAGCATGTATCTGCAGATTAAGGGGGTTTTCCGAAACTAGGGGGTACCTTTTTGGGGTCCTCATGAATTACAAGGGAATCCTACTATTTGGGGGGGGGGAATCCCAATATAGACCAGCCGCCAGCCTTCGAAGGTTCAGCTCAGAGGCTTCACTGGCCCCTGTGTGTGAAAACCATAGCCGTTTGGGGTTTGGGGTTTAGGGTTTAGGGTTTAGAGTTTAGGGTTTGTTCAGGGTTGAGGGTTTAGGGTTTAGGATTCAGGGTTTAGGGTTCAGGGTTTAGGGTTTAGGGTTTAGGGTTATAGGGTTATAGGGTTATAGGGTTATAGGGTTATAGGGTTATAGGGTTATAGGGTTATAGGGTTATAGGGTTGAGTTAGATAACTCCAAAGAGTTGGAACAACCTCATCCCCTGTTCCGAAAGGTACAGTAAAGGGAATCCCAGCTCTAATCATCCTGAAACCATGTTCCAACTTTCTTATGTTTACTGTACTCCTAACATATTTGCAGTCTACTTGCGAAGTTCCCGGCGCCCCGAATGCGTGTTTAGGGTTTAGGGTTTAGGGTTCGGCAGCTAGATTTTGGTGCGGGAGGGGTGGGGGAGCTCTCTAGACATCAAGCCTCCACATCCTTAAGGTCCCTAAACATTCCGCAAACCCTAAATCCCTCTAAGAAGGGTCCCTGGAACCCTCCCGAATCTCTGCGGCACAGCAGGTCGCTGCTGGGCCTGATGGATCTCCCCTGCCGCAGTTCAGCGTCGCAGATGCACATATTCCCTCTGTTTGGGAGTTTGTGTGGTGTAGTGTTCAAGAAAGAGAAAGCCCCCACAGTCATCAGAGCAGCTGCGGTTGACGCATGCCAGAACTCAGTCTTGGAAAGTTTAGGTCTGGGGAGTTGTGCGTAGGTCTCGGCGTAGGTTTCAGCCAAACCGTGGAGCCGATTTTGCACTTGCTGCTCTCTTCATGTTGCCAAACTTAACCCGCATGCATCCGCATGCTTTCTTGGTGCTGTTTCCGTGGTCAAGGGTTGCGACTTGTGCGCGTGGAGCCCAGTAACTACTGTCAGCTACGTGCGCAGCTTAGTCCTCATGATGGCTTTGAAGGTAGCGCCAACTCAGTCGCAACACCGAATTGGAAGGCAGCTCACAGCTTTCACACCTCTTCGGCCATGGAAGCCGATCCATCCGCTTGGCTGGGTCGCTATGAAGAGGAGTTCGATAGAAGGCCCAACACACCGGAAGAGCTTGTGGCCTTCGTGAAGAATCGAGGCGGAGCACTTTCGTATGCCGCTGCCAAGAAGCCAGGCGATTGGTAGCACTTTGCGAGTTTAGCTGTGCCGAGCTGCTTTTTTTTGCATCAGCAGTGACTTGGCTGTCTAGCTAGCTCGACCATGGCCCAGGAAGTTCTTGCTAGAATGCCGCTCGCAGCAGCCACATCAGCAACGAACGGACAGAGAAGCGGGCCGGACAAGCACCAACTCGGAGGCCCAAGAGGACAGAGCAGTGAATCGCCTGACTCCGCCGCCACCATGGGTGTCTTTTCGTCAAGTCCCACTGCTGCCACCGCGGCCACCACCGGGGCCTTGTTCCGATGCTGTGTACTCCGCTCCTTCTAGCAGTGAGGCCTGCTACGTACCGCCTGCGCATGCACAGCCGGCGAGAAGTCAAGGGCAGCAATGGTTGGCATTCGAGCACGAGGCGCTGATTAGGGCTTTTGGGCTTGGGATGTTGGGTTCCTTGTTGGCTTTCGGCCTTCGGCTCCCGGGTCTAATCTCATTTGCTAGTCCTCCTCCAAACAGTTGTGGTAACACTGAGAAGCTAAGGATGGCACTGGTGATCGTGAAACGGGGTCACGTGAGGTGGAGATTTCTGATGGCTGTGGCCCGTCAGGTGTGTGGTCTGCCACTCCTGCTGTTGGTGGTGCTGCTGCTGCGACTGATGATGAGGATGGTCTTCATCATCATTATGAGGACTATGGTGATTATGAGGACTATGAGGATTATGAGGACTATGAGGATTATGAGGATCGTGATGATTATGATGTTTCATGGTTGCCAGGTCGAGAGACTGAATATGACGCGGAGATTCACGGCCAGATGCAACCACCAGCAACGAGAGACAATAGTGAGGGCAGCACAAACCCCATACAAGATGCAGAGGTGGCCCGGCTTCGTCTGGAGAATCAGCGGTTGGTGAGAGAAAACCGGGAATTTCAGCAAGTGCTGCATGCCCTTCCACCGGCAGTGTACGAGGCCGCAGTCTGGATCCGCGACGAGTTGCCCCGCCTGCTAGCCCGCGTCCAGACGCAGACAAGACCGGTACGTGTCCACATTCCGATCTTGGCATTGAGGCAGACACACCGGACTGTAAATGCCTCACTGGCGTTCGGCGATGAGCATGGCAATTCTCAAGAGAACATCCTGAAGCTCTTTGAACAGCTTTTCCGCGGGCGAGTACGACCTTTCGAAGTCGAGCCACTGGTGGTCAAGCTTCCAGAAGAGGCATCTTCCTGTCCCAAACCGTTTGCTTAAATGTTTTTTGTAGAGCAGCACGGATCAGCAAGGCACCGCTTAAGAAGTAGACGGCAGCAGGGATTTACTGACGGCGTGCCCTATAAACGAAACTGCAGAGAGGCAGAGAGGCCCCATAGAGACTTGCCCACAGGATAGTCTCGACATTTTCCGGCCTGGAAAGTTTCTGCTCACTCCAACGGGCTTGACTCAAACTACAGGTTGAGATGCGGAGATTCTAAGACCCAAACCCTAAACGACAAGAAAGGCGACTGCTAGTCGTGGCATCCGTTCTCGAAGCAATCGGAGACTACTTGCTCTCAAAGCATTTCAGAGCGCCCGCCTGGACGAGTGCATCAAAGTGCTGCTCGGAGTTGCAATTTCAGGGCCTATGGCTCAGGCTTCGTCATTTTGTTTAGGGCCATTTAGGGCTTCAGAATTCAGGACATTTTAGGTTTTAGAGGCTCCAGTTTAGAAGTCTAGGGTTACAGGGTGCGCGTTTTGTAGTCGGAACCAGGGCTTCTTTCGATTTAAGGTTTTAGGGTTCATGGGTATCTCCACTAGCGCAGAGCTTGCCACCAGGCTGCAGGAGTTTACGTTAGCGACTCTCTGCCTGAGCATGTCAACGCATCATCGCAAAAAAGGAGCATCTTCCGGAGGCTCGAAAGATTTCCGAGGGAAGGTAATACAGGTCCTTTCAAGTCGGTTCTGTAGATCCCCCTGGTTATACAAGAAAGAGTTCTGTGAGGCCCCATGGCACGATTCTCCGATCTCGAATCACACTATACACGTTCCGAGCATGCCCGGTGCTGTTGAGAACTGAGGCCGTGCATGGCCCACTCCCACAGAACATACCTGCGCAACGAAAAATTCAGAACCTGGTTCGACCATGGTGACGACGGCGATTCTGGTTGGTCCATCTGGAGCAGAGACGGGATCTCCAAGCATCGCGGTGTGCCGATCTTCAACAACGCAGCTTCTGCTGTGAGTGGCTTGCAAAACCTCATAAAACGTCAGCAGACGCGTCCAAACCCAGACTTAGAGAGAATTGAGAAGGTGGATGCCGTGCTTCGATTCATCATGAGGCGGCCAGTGTCCCAGCAAAAGCCTGATGATGAGGAGACCCTGACGTTCGCCGGCAGCAATTACACCCGTCAGCATGAGCGAGGGCAGTGGCAGCAGCATCAAGACAATTGGTCTCAGTGGCAGGATGCGGGCGCATCCGAGTGGGACTACTCCGCGCAGAATGACGCAGGCGGACGTCGGTGGCGAAGATGGGAAGAGGATCAGGACGAAAGCCAGGGATGGGCCGAAGACTGGCACGACTGGAGTCGCAGAGATGTGTAGCTGCTGTAAACATGTCAATGGAGATGTGAGCTTACAAACTCACAGTTTCACGGTTATGTCCTGTCCCTTCTGGGATACACGCTGCATGGCAAGTATCCTTCAGTCAGCTCTTCGCATCATACAAAGTAATGCGCATGGAGGCATGACTCCCAAGTTGCTGTTCCCAGTCCCAATGCTTCTGTTTTTGAGAACTAGCAATGGCCTGCGCTTACGATTTAAATGGCTTAGCGCCAACGAATCAGTGGCTCATGGCCATACGGTTCGCGGCCGAGATGGCACCGCGCATTGGCAGCTGAAAATCTCACTGGGTCTTGCCATAAGGTTCCGCAAGAAGACTTCCTAGGACCGCCAGTAATGACGTAGTAACCCTCTTTCTTTTTGCTTCGGGTTAGGACGTCTTACGGCTTAAAATCCTGGGGAACCGGCTTGTAGCCACTCCTCCGTTTGACCTGCGATTCGAAGGACTCATTGCGAATTCCCAAACCAGAGGCGACGTACCCCCTGGATCCAGGGTATAGTTGATGTGCATCTGGAAGTTTGTACATGTCTTCACCCAATTCATCCCAATTCCCCAAACATGCAAAACCCCAAGCCCTTCAAGTGTACCATACCGGTGCGTCGGCATGTCAGAAGCTGACCTCCTACCACGCCGACTGCAACTCATGAACTCAACTCCAACCCGTCTCCCCCAAGAGCGCATTTCCTCGACCATAGAAAACCCAAACCCTAAGGCCTAAACCTCAAGGTAGGCCCTAAGCCCAGAAGCCTAAGACCTACTTAAAAAGGCCAAAGCGCTCCAACTCCTCAGGCCTAAGCTCTACCAATTAGGTCCTAAACCCTGAAAAGGTTGAAGCGAAGCCCTCAGCGTGCAATCCTCCGAGCGTTATCCTAGGCCGCCGCTTCTTCATCTCCAAGCAGTCCACGCTGGACCAGGTGGCTTAGGGTATTCGGATTGAGGCTTGAGGGTTTTCGGGTTGGGGCCTTACAGCGCGTATGGTTTTCGTTTCGGCGACTTGTAAAGGCTTTTGGGTGTCGGTGTCTATCGAGGAGGAATTCCCACAAGATCCTAAGCCCTCAGACCCTCTGTAAACCCTAAACCCTAAACCCTAAACCCAAACCCTAAACCCTAAACCCTAAACCCTAAACCCTAAACCCTAAACCCTAAACCCTAAACCCTAAACCCTAAACCCCGTTTCGTGCCTGCGGGGCATCTCAGATGGCTTCGGAGGGTTGAGAAGCATCCTCGACCCTCCGAACCTCCAGCGCCCCAAAAGTCAGGGTTTAGGGTTTATGTTGCAGGGTTTAGGGTTCGCTTAGATCTAATCTCTTGGGCGTTGGGTGTTTCAGTCTGCGCTCTGAGCCTCATGGACAACCCAAAGCATACAGTGAAGCCCCACAGCCCCTCAACCCTAAACCCTAAACCCGAAACCCTAAAACCTAAACGAAGATCCTGAATTCAGCCCTCAATGTCCCTTCAACCCTGAGTTCTCAAGCCTTGCAATAAGTCCTAAAACTTGAATGTCATCCACCCACCTCCTCATACTCTCAAGAATCCTAGCACCTAAGCCCCAGACCCCTAAACTCCTGAAACCCTGAAGCACTGTTAAACCCTGAAACCCTTGAACCCTCAAGGCTCTGAAGCCCTTTTTTCCTTTCAACATCACCTGAACCAAACAAATCCCTCACCGAACCGGAAGATCCTTCAACGCCTAGGCCCCAAGCTCGAAATCCTAGTCCCCATACCCTAGAAGAAGCTTTAAACTAGCAATGCCCTTAGTTTTGGTTCCCTGACTTCATCCTAGACTCTAAACCCCAAAACCTACGCCCTGATTCCTGAAACCCCTAAATCGCCGCCCAGACCTTGTCCATGTTGGCGGAGAAGCTCTCGAAGCCCGTCGACCGGTCCCGGCTATGGCATCGCTCCAAAGGCGCGCTGCCTGTTTTTTAGGTTTGGTGGGTTTGCAGGATTCAGGGCGTCAGGTTTAGGGTTCAGGTTTAGTGCCTATAGGGTTTAGGGTGATTAGGGTGCAGCGTTTAGGGTTGCATGTTTAGGCTTCCGCGTTTGAGGTGAAGGGTGTGGGGGTTTAGGGTTTGGCGTTTTCGCGTTTATGGGTTTGTGGGTTATAGGGTTTGGGATTTGTCGCACCTACCAGAGCGATAGTGCAGTTTACAGTACCTACGTATAGCCAATTCTACTGGTGCCACGTTGCTGGCTAACTCCTAAACCCCTATCCCCTAACCCTGGCTGGTTCTTAGTAGGGATTGAGGGAATGAGGCACCCTATATCCCCCTATATATAGGGAGTATGTAGGGTACCTCATTCCCCCAGTGCTAAGAACCAGGGGGAAACCCCTCAACACCCCAAACCCTGCACCCTAAACCCTAAGCCCCAAGCCCCTAAACCCCTGAACCCTCAACCAGGTGAGCAGTGGCGCTTGGTAGAGAACCAGAACTGCACCCTGGATGAGTTCCTGGAAGGGAAGGCTGATGGGACTAAAGTAGGGACGGGGGTTTAGGGTTTGGGGTTTAGGGTTTAGGGTTTACGGTTTAGGGGTTTAGGGGTTTAGGGTTTAGGGTTTAGGGTTTAGGGTTTAGGGTTTAGGGTTTAGGGTTTAGGGTTTAGGGTTTAGGGTATGTAATCTCTAACCTTTTTGGGGCCTTGTAATCCCCATATAGTCCCGAAGATTAACCTTTAGTTCCCCTAGGATGCCGGACAACTACGGACTAAAGTAGAGACTGCTAGGGGTGACTTTGGGGCTACTTGGGTCTGTAAGTATAGGGACTCAAGGTGTCAAGGTGTTTATAGGAGGTCATAGCGTAGTAGGAATAGAGTTCGGGCTTTCGGGTTTAGGGCTTCTTGGGGTCCAGAGTTCGGGTTTTGGGGTTTTTGGTTCAGGGTTTCAGTTTGGGGTTCTATCATGGGAGTGGTATGTCGAGCATTCGGGCTCTGTGGGCATGGAGGGGTTTAGCATCTTCATGGTCTGAGCATCTCGGGTTTTGTTTTGTTCAGGGTGAATCTTAAACCCTAAGCCCCTAAGACTGAAAGCCGCCTTCAGTACCTGTCCAAAAAATGGGAAGTTGATGTAGATTGGGCGTTTTAAGGGTTCGGGGTGCCCAAATCACATCAGGGTAGTTTCCGGACCACGACGCCTCTCCTATACCCCGGGGTTCAGGTTTTGAGGTTCTTGCTTTCGCGCGTTGAATGCGCTAACCCTACACTCTAGCCTATAGCCCTGCTAGGATTTTTATGCAGGTAAAACTGTTCTAAGGGGAGTATAGTACACCCTACACACTCTAAGCCCTAAACCCGAAAACCCTAAAGGATCAAAGCCCTGCCCTCAAAACTCCAAACCCAAGACCTTAAACCCTCAACCCTAAACCTCTTAAGCCCCCGAGCCCCAACCCGAACCCCCCTTTAAGCCGTAAACCCTCAACACTAACCCCTCAAACCTCAAACCGCAATCAGTGCTGGAGGGCCGGAAGCCCTAAACCCTAAACCCTAAACCCTAAACCCTAAACCCTAAACCATAAACCCTAAACCCTAAACCCTAAACCCTAAACTCTAAACCCTAAACCCTAAACCCTAAACCCTAAATCCTAAACCCTAAGCCCTAAACCCTAAACCCTAAATTTAAGAGCCTCCGGCTCAAGCCGCCGACCCCGCTGGAGCATAGTTGAGACCCGCTCGCATGGAAGATCATCCCCGGCAGAGTTCTGTGAATCGTTTGGGGGGGGGTAGGGGGTAGCACCAGGACAAGCTCAAGCCAAAAAGACAGGTGGGTGGGGGTGGGGGGGGGAGGGGGGGGGGGGGGGGGGGGGGGGGGGGGGGGGGGGGGGGGGGGGGGGGGGGGGGGGGGGGGGTGGGGGGGGGGTGGTGGGGGGCGGGGGGGGAGGCGGGCGAAACGCTGATTTTGTGAGGGCGCCCCTACCCCCCGTGTTGAACCCCTGTTTACGCTGTGCGGGTGGCGCGGTGTGCACCGACCCCCCCCACCCCCCCCCCCTCCCCCCCCCGCGTTTTGGGGGGGTAAGGAGGGAAAGAGGGAGGTTTTCACCTCCTTTTCCCATCCAACACGCCGCCAGGGTCGGCGGACCCTAAACCCTAAACCCTAAACCCTAAACCCTAAACCCTAAACCCTAAACCCTAAACCCTAAACCCTAAACCCTAAACCCTAAACCCTAAACCCTAAACCTGCCGGAGGGCTGGGATGCCGGGGCCTTCATGCTGGAGACGCAGGTGGACTCCGAGTGGTCCGGCCCCCCATCCTCCCAGGGTATCTAGGTAGGCCTTTGGCTTAGGGTTTAGGGTTTAGGGTTTGGGGTTTAGGGTTTAGGGTTTAGGGTTTAGGGTTTAGGGTTTGGGGTTTAGGGGTTTTAGGGGTTGAAGGGTTTAAGGGTTTAAGGGGTTTAAGGGGTTTAGGGTTAGGGTTTAGGGTTCAGGGCTGAAGATTTAGGTTTGAGGGTTCAGGGTTTCGGGCGCAGGGCTTGTAGGTTTGTTTTCTTTGGTGCGTAGCCTGACAGTCTGTGCGTGCTGAGTTCGGTTTGTAGGGGTTTAGGGTTTAGGGTTTAGGGTTCAGGGTTCAAGGGCTCAGGGTGTTGTAGGGGTTCAGGGCTTAAGGGTTCAGGGTGTTGTAGGGGTTCAGGGATTGGGTTTATGTGTTCAGGGCGTTTAAGGCGTTTCGGGCCTAGGGCTTAGGTCTTAGGGATTGGACGGTTTAAGGGGTCAGGGCTTGTAAGAATTTAGGGTTTAAGATTTAGAGATTAGGGTTTCAGGGTTCAGGGTTTGTAGGGTTTAAGGGTCTAGGGAGTATGATTTGGAACAGGGATCTCGGTTCAGGGGTTTAGCGTTTTGGGTTCGAGTTTCGGGGAGCTCCCGGTCTGTTGTTTTCGGGGGAGTTTGGTGGGTTTCAGGGTCTGGGTTCTGGGGTTGGGGGCTTAGAGTTCTGGGTAGTGGTAGCTACTTGAAGGTTCATGGTACTTACTGCCAAATTATAACTGGGCTTATAACCCTACTTATAATTGGGATAACCCCTATAAGGCCCTTTAGGGGTAGTAGGGTTATAAGTACAGTTATAATTGGTTAGTAAGTACCATGAACCTTCAAGTAGGTCCCTAAAACGCGTCTTTGGAGGGCCGCGTAGAAACGATCCTCGTGCCAGCTACTACGTCGTGTCGACTAAGAAGGAACAAAAGTATGAAAGCAGCTGAAGCTGCTTTTCGACCTTAGACACCAGATGCCCTAAACCCTAACCTCCTATGCCAAAAACCCGAACATGTCGACATTGAAACCCCACACCCGTGCCCAAGGCCCCGGGACAAGCTGCTGAGTGCCGCCGCAGCCGACGAGGCACCCACAGGTAGCTTAAGGAACCACAAGTACTTGGGGTGTAGAGGGTTCAGGTTCGGGGTTTAGGGTTTAGGGTTTAGGGTTTAGGGTTTAGGGTTTAGGGTTTAGGGTTTAGGGTTTAGTGTTTAGGGTTTAGGGTTTAGGCTAAGGCTTCAGGGTTTAGAGATGTTAAGGCTCTATGGCTTCTGGTATTTTACCCATGGGTAGGTTTGCTACATGCCAGGGCCGTCAACTTCCAAGTAGGCTTGGCCGTCTTACACAACCCTAAACCCCAACTTACATTAGCCATGATTGAGATGCAAGCTACCCAACATATCCGTTCAATTCAAGTGGGGGTCAACGAAAATAGGGGACCGTAAAATCGACCCCCAAGTAGTAGGATTCACCTATAATAATTAAGGACCCGAATAAGGTACCCCAATTGTAAACGCTTGCGCGCGCTGCCTCGGCAGCCGGGCCGGCCCCAGGACAGGAAAGGAGGAAAGAGGGTTTCGCAAAGAGGAAGGGCAGAGGGGTCAAGGGGGGGAGGGGGGGTGGGGGGGGGGGGGGGGGGGGGGGTGGGGGGGCGGGGGGTGGGGGGGGGTGGGGGGGGGGGGGGGGGGTGGGGGAGCCACCCTCCACGGCATCGGTTTGCAGCTCCTTCAAGCCATTGGGGGGGGTCCCACGGGGGGGGGGGGCGGCGTCAGAAAATTTTGCCTGGGGGGAAGGGTTGGGTTAGGGGAAGGAGGCCCGATCCGGGTCTGCTTGTTCCAGACGCTTCTCGGCAGGAAGCCGAGGCGAATTTCGGAAACCACCAATTAGGCCCTGAACCCTAAGGTCAACCATAGTCGCCCTTGTTCTAAGCGCCCATGTTCCTGGCAACACGCTCAAAGTACTCATTCAAATTCAGCAGGCGCGCCGAATTACATCGGGCTCTGTCTGCTTTGGGAGCTCTCCTGTAAGCGCGGGGTCTGCTTGAAGGTTCATGGTGTACTTATAACCCTACTTATAATACCCCTAAAGGGCCTTATAGGGGTTATCCCAATTAGAAGTAGGGTTATAAGCCCAGTTATACTTGGTTAGTAAGTACCATGAACCTTCAAGTGGGGCCTTTTGGGAGCTTGGGTCTTCCCGGCTGGGTAGTGTTCAAGGGTCAAGGGCTTATGGTTGTTACGGCCGGTCTGTGTTTTTCGGATAGGGTTCCTAAACCCGAAACCCGAAACCCGAAACCCGAAACCCGAAACCCGAAACCCGAAACCCGAACCCTAAACCCTAAACCCTAAACCCTAAACCCTAAACCCTAAACCCTAAACCCTAAACCCTAAACCCTAAACCCTAAACCCTAAACCCTAAACCCTAAACCCATAAACCCATAAACCCATAAACCCATAAACCCTAAAACCCTAAACCCTAAACCTAAAACCTAAACCCTAAACCCTAAAAACCCTAAGCCCTACGCCCTAAGCCCTAAGCCCTAAGCCCTAAGCCCTAAGCCCTAAGCCCTAAGCCCTAAGCCCTAAGCCCTAAGCCCTAAGCCCTAAGCCCTAAGCCCTAAACTTAAGCCCTAAACTTAAGCCCTAAACCCTAAACCCTAGACCCTAGACCTTCGGGACCGATCGCTGCCAGGCGCGCGAGGACGAGGTCCCGCAGCCAGAAGAGGCAGGGGGTTTAGAGTTTAGGGTTTAGGGTTAAGGGTTTAGGGTTTAGGGTTTAGGGTTCAGGGTTTAGGGTTTAGGGTTTAGGGTTTAGGGTTTAGGGTTTAGGGTTTAGGGTTTAGGGTTTAGGCTGTAGGAAGCCGGGTTCTGGACTTCGAAGCCCTAAGCCGCAAACCCGAAAAGAGCATGGAGTTTTTAGAAGCAAAGATGCATCTCGAAGCCTTCTCGGCTCTTCGTAGCCAAGCCCGGAACCCTAAACCCTAAACCCTAAACCCTAAACCCTAAACCCTAAACCCTGAACCCTAAACCCTAAACCCTAAACCCTAAACCCTAAACCCTGAACCCTGAACCCTAAACCCTAAACCCTAAACCCTAAACCCTAAACCCTAAACCCTAAACCCAAGAACAGATCCCGGCTCTCCGACAGGCGCACGGTGACGGCCGCCAGTCGCGCTTCGAGGTCGGGGATCGTGTGGAGGTGCGGTGGATCCCAGGGGCGCTGTGTGGGGTTTGGGGTTTGGGGTTTGGGGCTTGGGGTTTAGGCTAACGCGTAGGTTTTTTTGGGGTTTAGGGTGTAGGGTTTGGGGTTTGGGGTTTAGGGTTTAGGGTTTAGGGTTTGGGGGGGTAAGGGTTCAGGGTTTGGGGTTTCGTCTAACTGCTGCATCGCGAGATGTCGTGCGGGAGAAGCTAATGCATCCAGGGTTTGTGGCGTGAAGCATCTGGCGACCATGCACTCAATAGCAGTGATCCACATTTGTACGGAACGTCGAGAAAGAGGGCCTTGTCAAGTGGCCATATCGCAGAGGGAGCAGACTTCAACAGCGCTGCCAATGGTGGGCTGGGGGCGCTGGATCTCGTGCGAACACTACTGGTGATCGCATCATGACATGATCGATCACAGAACTTGGCATCATATCATGGGCTTCTGCGACATTCACCTCAGGTGCTCACCCCACGAAGGGTGTCAGGGCCGTCAACATCGGGCCTCTGGCATTCCGCCTAAGCCATCGCGCCTCTTGGCGCTGCGTGGAGGCTTCACACAACTTCCGCAGATCAGTGTTTGTTGCTTTACTGTAACTTTACATCTTTAGCCTTTTTGGGTTTATTGGGTTTCTTAAGAAGGCAGCACAATTAAATTTATAGCTACCCTGCAAAGAGCAGCCAAGTACCGGACTTAGGGCCTAAGGGTGGTTTTTGGCTTGGGATCGTTTCTTCCTTTAGGGCTGGGGTTTAGGATGGCTTCGTGCTTTTCATGGCTTAGGGGGCAGAAGTGTTGGCTGGGAATTGGGTTCCTTCAGGGTTCAGGGCATCTGTTTCAGCGGCTTTGCTTCAGAACTCTTCAATGTCAATACCTGTGGTTCTGTAGGAGGTAGTGTTCACCCGGGTGGCTTTCCTGCTTACCTCCCTAAATCTAGAAGCCTAACGCTACACCCTGCATTCAGGGTAATTAGCACAAACTCGTATTTGGGCCCAGAAGGGCTTGAGGGTGTAGAGTTTAATGCGTTTAGTGTTTTGGGGTTTCCCAACCAGTGCCTAGCCAATCTCTCCCGAGCCCAAACCTCAACAAGCCCACGTGTACCCAAGGAGATTGCCTCTAAAACGTTAACCCAAAGCCCTAACCCCCAACCCCTCAAGGGTGGAGGGCTCAGGGCTCCACGGCTCCAAGGCTAAACCCTAAAACCGTAGAAGCTCTAAACCCCTAAAGCCCTAAGACCCTAAAACACTAAAACCCTACAAACCCTACAAACCCTACAAACCCTACAAACCCTACAAACCCTACAAACCCTACAAACCCTACAAACCCTACAAACCCTGCAAACCCTAAAACCCTACAAACCCCACAAACCCTAAAAACTCTAACGCTCTGAGCTCTTTCTTCACCTTCCAGATAATTCCAGCCTTTAAAACCCCGCAAACTGCTACCTCACCTTGCAGGCCAAGGGTGCAGGGAATCGGCAGTGGCTGCCTGGAGCCCATGAGGGGTTTGGTTGTTGCTGGAGGTTTCTGTATTTAAGGGCTTTCGGGCTTTGGGGGCTTGGGCTTTGGGTTAAGTGTTCTAGGGTTTGCTTTTTGGGGTTTAAGGGTTCAATTTTTTTGGGGGATTGCAGGCTTGGAACATTCGGGATTCATGTACTGGGCTTTTGGGTTTGGCGCGATGGGTTTGTGGGTACGTGGCGGCCCTGTGCTGTCCAATACCTCTCGTTTAGCCCACTCCCGCAATGGCAAGCCGAAGCCCTAAAGCGACTTTTTGGGGCTTAGTGCTTGGGGTTTAGGGTGTTTGTGGGCCAAGTTAAGGGTGTTTATAGGCGTTTTAGGCTCTTTGGAGTTTTCAGGGTGTTTAGGCTACCCTAAACCCTAAACCCTAAACCCCAAACCCTAAACCCTAAATCCTAAACCCTAAACCCCAAATCCTAAACCCTAAACCCCAAACCCTAAACCCGAAACCCTAAACCCTAGCCTCAGGCGTGGCACCATTGTGGATGTCGTGGTGCGCGACCACGGCTCCACCCCCTCACAGGCCCCTGGCTTCCTTCATATTCTTCCATGGTTGGTTTAGGAGTTTGTTTTTGGTTTCCCGTTTTTTTTCGTTAGTTGGGTAGTTAGTTTGTTAGAAGCTAACCCCCCCAGCCCCCAGAAGGAAGTATTGTTGGAGTTGGGAGCCTAGGTACTCGGAGCTTATTACTTCCATGAGGAGGAGGGCTCGGGTTTACAGTTTAGGGTTTAAGGTTTCGGGCTTAGGGTTTAGGGTTTAGGGGAGTTGCGGCACTGGGATTCTGGGATTCGATGTTGGTAGTTGTTTAGGGTCTCGGGTGAGTCTTCGGGATTGCTTTCAGCTTCGTTGCTGTTTGGAGAGGGGCCTTAGGGTCAGGGGTTGGCGCTGTCCGATTCTCTAAGGGCAGTTATATAGGCCCTTAAAATGGTCACACGAAAGCGGACTGCGTCGCTAGCCAGGTTAGGCTCTTCGGAACCGAAGTTCCGGAAGGTATTAACTATGCACAGAAAAGGAAAACTCTCGAGGTGTCCTTGGCCTGCTTAACACGGCCGAACTATGTGCAGGGAACACCGAGAGAAAGCATTGAGGGCTTAACCAGTTCCGCGAGAAGCTCGGCGGCCTACGGCTACTCACTGGTTTGGCACTATACAAAGCCCTAGGCAAATGTTCTGCAGGTTGAACTGCCTGGTCTGTACTGCCTACCCTATAAGCCCTGCCTGTACAGGGGAGAAACTCACCCACATTCGGCTCACTCGGAAAAGGCAGAAGGTCCGGAACCGACACATGGGCAATGCCTGTACAAACTGCAGACAAGTGGATTGGCAAAAGTCGCCAACCTCCGGAGCAGGCCTAAGCTTTCTCGCACTTACGAACCTAGGCCCCAGAAACTCATGCCGCAGCAGCACTGAGCTCCTGTTTGCCCCGTATGCTGACCTGGTTTTCTCGCACTTACTCACCAGGGAGGAAGAACCAACTTTCTCGCTCTTACTCACTGGTTCAACCTCAGCGGCTCCAGAGGAACCCACACCACTTGCACGCAGGGAGGGCTTGGTTGATTTGGGCATCTCAGTTGGGCAGGCTTTCGGGCACCGAGCCACAGCCTTTAACCTCCGCAATCTGGTGCCTCAGGCTGTCCGTCAGCCTAGGTTTTGGTCCCTAACAAACAACGCCTGCCGCTAGGCTTCCTCCTGGCTGGGCTTGCACCAGCAGGAGAAAACAACACACCCTGCAGGGACAGACAAAGGAAATACTTAAAGGCCAAACACGGGTAACCCCAAACTGATGCAGGGCGTCATGCCCTCGACCTCAACCGGCCGGTGTACTTGGATCCTCGTCCGTTCCTCAACACCTCAGCGCGCAACCCTCCCCTCATCAACCAGTGAGGATCTACAGGGACCGGTTCTGACGTTTTCCGTGCGTGCGCTGCGTTTGCGAGAACCCCGTGTTGGGCCTGTAAGTACCCGCAAGCACCTGAGCCCGAAAACCCGGTCCAGCGGTCTGCTTGACAGACCGAGCAAGGGGGCCGAACCGGTGTGAGGCTGAACACAGGCCGCATCTTGGCGGCCAGTCCTGCCGGGTGTCCAACGGAACAACTGCGAACCTATTCCGTTGGATGGAAAAGGGGGGTGCCGGGACTGGGCACTGAACTGCTTTCGCTCTAACCTGCATCCTTATGCAATCATTGCAAGCAGTTTCGCTTTGATTTGTACATCTTTGCTTGAAAAGGGAGAGTCTCCTCTATGACATTGGAATTCCGGAGGGGAGAGTCTCACCCTTGATTCTGGCAGGGCGTAAGCTCCTGCAATTTGGGTGGGTTGGGGCCGTATTAGGTCAGACATCCCGGGGGGTGTCTCCCAATTCTTCAAAGCCACACACAGGCCAATCGCTGCTGCACGCTTCTTCTGGAAAGTCAAGATCCTGATAACACCCTTCCTCGAGGAAAGTCCAGCCACGTGCGATGGCTGCAGAAGGCCACGGCGTCAGCGAAGGTTCTTCAGGCTCTGTTCCTTGGTGACCTAGTTGACACAAGTCAGCAAGGGAGGCGTCGTCCAGAAACACCGGTCTCCTGACTGCTTGGTCAAAGCTCGGCCAGCTCCACGTGCACGCCAGGAAGTTTTCAAGACAAAGGGCACAGTGGAGCTCGATGCGTCTTCCATCCTCTCCATGCAAGATCGCTGGTTGCCTTTTCCCAGGACCTGGCACGAAATTGAGGTTATGGGTTGGAATGTTACCACAGCCAGTGCAATTGAAGTTCAAAAGGCGAAGCCACTGCACGGGCGGGTCGCCTCCCATTCCCCCGTGGAGCTCTGCTGGGTCTTCCATGCATCTCCATTGCCCACAAGGTCCGGCTCTGACTGTTTTGCCGGATTTGCTGGTGCGAACAAAATACACGCTGCTGTCCTCGGAGAGGAGCAGCCACTCTTTCCGGCCCTTGTGAAGCCAGCGAAAGCAGAGTGCCTGGTGGAAAGTCCTGCCTTGGCTGAAACCACAATTGGCTCTATGGGCCCAAGTTCGCTCTACACTTGCCAGGCTGCTTGAGCATCTTACCTGGTCTTCCAAGGCTGGAGAAACTCCACAGCCGGCTGTAAGAGGACTCGCATAAGGGAAGAGTTCCCCAAGCCGGGCTGCTTCGCCCTCCAGTCGGGCCGTGCCTTCTTTCTGGCTCTCTGCATCGCAAGTTGGGTGAGATGACTCCAACCCGTCACTTGCTGGCAGTGAGGAACTCGACTGCACAGGTGCTCTGGACATGGCTCAAATGAAGGCTGTGATAAACAGGCCTTGTACCCAAAACAGTTAGGGGACTCGAGGCTGGTTCACACAGCTACCGCTCTGCTACCTGTGCACCCCACCGGGGTTGAGCCGAGATCTTGAGCCACCCTTAAAATGGTCCCTCCCCTTCTTGAACGGGTTCTGAAGTAGGGGATTTTGGGTTGTGTAGGGTAGAAATATCAGGGTGCCCTGTTAAGGGCCCATAGGAAGGGATCTACCTACCCTAAGAGATTCAGGGTGGGCTCAGGGATAGGTTCTGCTCGCAACTCTGCTCCCTGAACCGGCGTCGCCCGGTCTGCCCGCCCAGCGCTTCACCGATCCTGTGTTTGCCACACTCGCTCAAACTCTGCGAGAGTTCCAAGTTTGCTTGGAACGCAAGGTGGCTGAGAAAGATTCGTTAAGAGTCCGAGTTCGCGTCGCTGCTGCACAGATGGAGGGTCCAGAAACTTTGTGGCAGTTTCCTGGATGCCTACTGCGCCGACAAGACTTCATGCCATTGAATCTGCTGGTAGCTCGCCTGGAACAGCGACCGGTCGATACATTCGCACACTGTTTCGGTTTCAACTCGGTGTCTTGGCTAGTGCGAAGATGCGCAGTCGCCTCTGGTGCAACTCCTAAGCCTTACCTAGAGAATCAGGGTACTTTTCACGTCAAGGGGCAGGCTGTCAGGCTTGGGGTTGAGAGTTTTGCTGGCAAAGGGCTTCTGGGTGTGGGGGACAAACAAATGTAGGCGACGGGTTACCTTCTGATTTTCCAGGTACAATACTCTTTGACAGCCCAAAGATTCATTTTCACCCTTTGAATCAAAGGTTTCGGTGCCTCTCAAGCCGAACGATGCCAGCACCCTAAATTTAAGAGCCTCCGGCTCAAGCCGCCGACCCCGCCAGAGCATAGTTGAAAGGTCTAAGCCCGCTCATCGGCTCAAAGGATGCTTTCCTCATCGCATGGTTCGGAGAGCATCGCAGCCTGCTCGGCAGAATCCCAAAAAGTTGTGAAACGCTCGCGCCTCTGTGAAACGTGGGGGGGGGTAGGGGGTAGCACCAGGAGCTAAATGGGCAATTTGTTGAACAAAGGCCATTACGATCCTTAGGGGAAAAGGTAGGGGGGGTGGGGGGGGGGGGGTGGGGGGGGGGGTGTAGGGGGGGGGGGGTCGTAAGAGTAGGGGGGGGTAGGGGGGGGGGGTAGGGGGGGGGTAGGGGGGGGGGTAGGGGGGGGGGGGGGGGGGGGGGGGTAGGGGGGGGGTGGAGAAAGGGACTAAAAAGGGGGTGGTTTGGGTTTTTTTCCCAAAAAAGCGCCTATGCCCTGTGCGAAACCGCTTATGGTCCATGAGTTTACGCGGTGTGGGTGGCCTGGCCCTCCACGGAAAAGCTGCCGGGGTACCCCCCCCCCCCTCCCCGCGTTTTGGGGGTAAGGGGAAAAAGGGAGGTTAGAAACCTATCCAACACGCCGCCAGGGTCGGCGGACCCGAAACCCTAAACCCCAAACCCCAAACCCCAAACCCGAAACCCCAAACCCCAGACCCCGAACCTTCTCGAAAATTTCTCCCACACCCTGCGAATCTGTTTTCTGGCTCATTCTTAGTAGGGAATGAGGGAATGAGGAGCCTACATATACCCTTTGAGGGGTTATACGGGGCCCTCATTCCCTCATTCCCTGCTAAGAACCAGGGGGTTTTACCCTAAACACTTAAACCCAAAAACCAAAACCCAAAACCCTAAACCCAAAACCCTGAACCCTAAACCCTAAACCCTAAACCCTAAACCCTAAACCCTAAACCGCGTGAGGTGAAAGTTCACTTCGATTCCACCGTGTACAAGTCCGATGAGCACGGCTTCCTACTGGGAGGGCTTAGGTGTGGGGTTTAGGGTTTAGGGCTTAGGGTTTAGAGTTTAGGGTTTAGGGTTTAGGGTTCAGGGTTTAGGGTTTAGGGTTTAGGATTCAGGGTTTGGGGTTTAGGGTTTGGGGTTTAGGGTGTGTTCAGGGAGGTTCCAGCCCCAAACAGGAGCGAATCCTCAACAGCCCTCAAAATCTCAAAACAGGTCAACCCCTCAGTCCTGAACCCCTAAACCACAAGGCCTCAGCCCCAAACCCCCTAGGACTCCAAATTGGGCTTGGAAGCATTCGAAATGTCATCCAGTTGCGCACGAACGTCTACGCTATCGCGCGCAAGATGCAGATGAACATCAAAGCCCAGGGACGGTGCGTACCTGAGAAGGCAATTTAGGGTTTAGGGTTTAGGGTTTAAGGTAAGAGAAGTTCAAGGAGATCCTGGTGAGAAGGAGGTCGCTGCCGTGCAGTTGCAACTCTTTGAGCTGAAACTGTCACACAAAGCGCAGATCGATGGGTTTAGGGTTTAGGGTTTAGGGTTTAGGGTCTAGGGTCTAGGGTCGAGGGTATAGGGTTTAGGGTTATGCTTGGGGTTTAGGGATTAATGTGGTATCCTGATTAGTGTGAGGGCCCCCCCCCCCCCCCCCCCCCCCCCCCCCAAACTAAATCCACCCCCGTAATAGTGTTAAAAAAAAGGGACCCCCCCAAACTAATTTTCGGCCCCGGGCCCCCCCCCACCGGCTCCTCTTCATTTCCTCTTCGCTCCTCTTCCCTCTCCTCTTCCTCTCCTCTTCCTTTCCCTCTCCTCTTACATAATTAAGCTCAGGTAAGCTCACCTCAGGTAAACTTAGGTACCCTTACCCTCCCCCCGAAAACCTTGACATTATTGTGGGGGTGCAATTTTTTTTTTTTTAAATGGGGTTCGGGGCAGCACGTGGACTACCCCCTTCAAAATTTGATGGCTAGGCCTCCTCAGATAAGCGAAGTCATAAGGAATCCTTGTTTTCCGGCCTGGTCGTCGACCCTGAACCCGGGAAGCTTGAAGGCGCGCCCCCCCGCCCCCCTCCCCCCGAAAACCTTGACAGTATTGTGGGGGTGCAATTTTTTTTTAATGGGCTTCGGGGCAGCACGTGGACTACCCCCTTCAAAATTTGATGGCTAGGCCTCCTCAGATAAGCGAAGTCATAAGGAATCCTTGTTTTCAGGCCTGGTCGTAGACCCTGAACCCGGGAAGCTTGAAGGCCAGCCCATGCCCGAAAAACTTTACTTTATTGTGGGGGGGCAATCCAAATTGGGTCTCCTGAATAGTTTTTGGAAAACTTTTCATTATTGAGGGGGTCCAGACTAATCAGGATACGACATTAGGGTTTAGATCGAAGACAACCCACGATGCTGAAGTCGCTTGAAGGGAGTGCCTGAAATCCCTCCACCCTGAACCCGAAATCCTAACCCCTTTACTTCCGTTTTTGTGGGGGGAGGGTAGAAGCCTAACCCTAAACCCACCTAAACCTACTCTTACTGCTGGGCCTCTTGGCTTGCGCGGGGTCGCAGAGATGTCGTTTCGAGTGAGTGTGCCGCCGGCTGTGCTCTTCCCCTTTAAATTCTTAACCTCGGGGTTGGGTTTTACAGACGAACCCTAAACCCGTGCACCACACATCGTGACCAAGTGCCTTAACACCGCAAGCCTTCCAAGGTCTTGGGAGCCGAATTTGCTTACCCCGGCCCCCAAAACTAGGACCCTACGACCATCATGTGATTTTGCGTGCTTCTCAGGCCTAAACCCTAAACCCTAAAACGTAAACCCCAAACCCCAAGCCCCCAAACCCTAAACCCTAAACCCTAAGCCCTCAATCCTAAAGACGCTCAAAGCCTCAATCCTTCAGTCTCCTTTTAAAGCCTCAGGCCCAAAAAGATGCCCTGAACCCCCTAAACCCTAAACCCCTCAACCCTAACCCTGCATGCAAACCTAAACCCTAAAACCTAAACCCAAAACCCTCAACCCCGAAACCCCTCAACTCCTGAACCCTTAACCGCTAATTTCCACGTGAAAGGTGGGTCCTAAGCTTCAAGGCCCTAGGTTTCAGGTTTTGGGGATTTAAGGTTTTGGGTTTTGGGGGTTTTAGGGTTTTAGGGTCTTAGGGTTTAGGGTTGTAGAGTCTCAGGGTTTTAGGGGTTTTAATTGGTTTTAAGGGTTTTTTCGAGGTTTTTCAGGGTTTGAGGTTTGCGAAAAAGGTGGATCAACACCTCCTCGGATCGGCTGGCCCTCTTGGGCACCCACACCGCAGCGGACGCCCAGTCGGTGGGTTTAGGGCGTAGGGCTCAGGGCTTAGTAGGGCTTAGGGCTTAGTAGGGCTTAGGGCTTAGGTTAGGGCTGAGGGCTTGGGGCTTAGGGCTGAGGGCTTAGGGTTTAGGGTAATCGCTGTTTGTCTTCGGCTACATGTCCCGGCAGTTTCGAGGCTTCAAGTTGAGATCGGTTGAAGCCCTGCGCCAGAGGGCTCTAGGGCTTCAGGGTGAGCCAGGACCCTAAACCCTAAACCCAAAACCCAAAACCCTAAACCCTAAACCCTAAACCCTAAACCCTAAACCCTAAACCCTAAACCCTAAACCCTGAACCCTAAGCACCCAAATCCCTAAACCCTAAACCCGAACCAAAACACCGAAACTCCAAACCAGCAAGGCAGCCCCCAAACCCCTGACGCCCCCAAAAGCCCCCACCAGAAAAAAACCTCGTCAGTTTTCCAGGAGCCCCTAACCCTAAATTTAGGAGCCTCCGGCTCAGGCCGCCGACCCAAGAGGCCGGAAACCTCTCAACCCTCAAAGCCGGAAAGTGTTGTTACCCTAAAGCCTAAACGCTAAACTCTACACCTAAACCAGGGTTCGGGGGTTTGAGGACGTGTTGTGGGAATGGGGGGGTAGAGGCTTTGAACTGTTGGAGTGGTTGGCGTAAGGCTGCAACATAGGCAACCCCCTGGGTGGGGCCCCCCCCCCCCCCTTTTAAGGGTGTAAGGGAGGGGTGGTGGGGGGGGGGCGGGGGGAGGGGGGGGGGGGGAAGTAGAAAAGAGAGGTGATGTGCCGTGGTCCCTTAGCTAAGCTTAGGTAACCCTAAACCCTAAACCTAAACCCTAAACCATCAAAACCAGCTGCCGGCCCAGGGAAAGACCGCGGATGAGCGCGGGACTGGTGGTGCCTCGCAGGGGTCCCCGGATCGCTGTCGAGCCGAGCACGAAGCCCCCAAAACCAGGGGTTTAGGGTTTAGGGTTTAGGGCTTAGGGTTTAGGATTTAGGGTTTAATTTAGGGTTTAGGGTTTATGGTTTAGGGAAAGCCTAACAAAAAGTTCAACCCTATTTAGGGCTACGTGGGGTTATTTTAGGGGGTATTTTCGGGCCCTAAGTCCTAGCCCCTACACCTGAGCCCTAAAAACTCTTACCCAAAACCTGGTCCCTCAGAGAATTGTGCAATCCTTAAGCCCCAAGCCCCAAAAAAAGCATTGCGAAGCCCTAAAACGCGAAGCCCGCGGCATCTGAAACCTTCCTTCCTTCCCTTAGAGCTCAGGGTCGAGGGCTTGCGGTTTCGGGTTTAGGGTTTGGGGTTTAGGGTTTAGGGAAGGAAGGACCCCTCACCCCCAAAGTTGTGAACGTGAAGCTCCCGGAGCCCTAAACCCCTACTTGCTCAGTTCCATGAATTAGGGGTTTCGGGTGTAGGGTTCGGGTTAGGGTTTCGAGCTTTGGGCTCATGGTGTAGGGATCAGGGTTACATACCCTAAGACCATAATGCCCCGAATGCTTTAATGCCCGAATACCTTCATACCCCGAATACACGAACCCCAAACCCCAAACTCCAAACCCCAAACCCGAACCCCCAACCCCCAAACCCCAAACCCCAAACCCTAAACCCCAAACCCGAAACCTTAAACCCCAGCACTCTAATACCCAAATACCCTGATCCCCGAATCCTCCGACCATCCTCTCCATGCTTTGCCAGGTTCATGGGTATGCCAGGGGCCCGTGGCCAGAGACTCAGTGTGTGTGTGTGTGTGTGTGTGTGTGTGTGTGTGTGTGTGTTTTTTTTTTTGAACTTTTTTTTTTTTTGGGGGGGGGGGGGGGGGGGTAGGGTTTGGGGCTTAGGGTTTGGGGTTTCGGGTTTGGGGGCCCAAGAACAGGAAAAACTGCGAGGAGAAGCCCGCAAAAGAGAAGGCCTTGGTAGGTCAGTGCTACCCTTTTCCCCTTTTTTGCAGGGTTCTAGGTTCCTTATATACCTAAGCCTTAAATTTCTAAACCCTAAACCCTAAACCCTAAACCCTAAACCCTAAACCCTAAACCCTAAACCCTAAACCCTAAACCCTAAACCCTAAACCCTAAACCTAACCCTAAACCCTAAACCCTAAACCCTAAACCCTAAACCCTAAACCCTAAACCCTAAACCCTAAACCCTAAACCCTAAACCCTAAACCCTAAACCCTAAACCCTAAACCCTAAACCCTAAACCCTAAACCCTAAACCCCCTTAAACTAAAGCAATGCGTGGTGGATGCTGAGTTTCCGGCAGGTCTGCAGAACCTGGGGAACACCTGCTTCATGAATGCTGGGGTCTCAGAATCCCTCGAATCCAGCGCAGCAAACCCTCTAGCGACTTAGGGTTCAGGGTTTAGGGTTTAGGGTTTGGGGTTTAGGGTTTGGGGTTTAGGGTTTGGGGTTTAGGGTCCAGACCATACCTGAAGCCCTAGGCCCAAGGCAAACCCTAAAACCAAACCCCAAACTTCAAGCACCAAACCCTAAACCCCAAACCCCAAACCATAAATCCCAAAACGTAGACCCCAAACCCCAAACCCTAAACCCCAAGCTCTAAGGGTTTAGGGTTTAGGGCTTATCTAGGTCAAACATCCCAAGAAGGTCGTGTATGCTAGGTTCAATGAAGCAGCCAGTCCGGACCATACCTAAATCCTATGTCAGCCCTAGTGCCCCCAACCCAAACCCCAAATCCCAAACCCCAAACCCCAAACCCAAAATCCCAAAACGTAGACCGCAAACCCAAAACCCTAAACCCTAAACCCCAAACTCTAAACTTCAAATTCCAGACTGGAATCCCTGACCCCAGGCTACGCTTCAGTGCATGGTCAACACGCCGGTAGTGCCGCTTGGCCTGCAGTCAGCCCAGGGCATTAGGGTTTCGGGTGCAGGGGGTTTAGGGTTTAGGGTTTAGGGTTTAGGGCTAGGGTTTCGGGTTCAGGGGTTTAGGGTTTAGGGTTTAGGGTTTCGGGTTTAGGGCTCAGGGTTTAAGGTTTAGGGTTAGGGAAGGGTTTCGGGTTTAGGGTTTGGGGGGTTTAAGCATTGGTGCCTTTCGCCCTACGCCCCAAGGCCCGAAGCCTAAGACCCCTTATCGCCCTCAACTGTGAGGCCTCTGCAAAGATCTCTCCTTCCTTTTCCACTAGTTGAACTTTGTGTTTTTTTGGGGTTTCCTTTTTTAGTAGGAATAGTAACTTTTAACCTGTTTTTCCCTTTGGCTACCCCAGGCGGGAGTACTTCCTGTCAGCGCAGCACGTCCGAGACGCCGCGGAGAGGAAGAGCTCGCACGCCAAGGCACGCGGGAGGGTTTAGGGTTTAGGGTTGAGGGTTTAGGGTTGAGGGTTTAGGGTTTAGGGTTTTTTGAATTCAATCTGGTTGGTGTTTGGTTGTACTGTAGTTGAGTGTCAACTAGACCTGAAGAAGGCTTCAGAAGGTGTTCTCGACCTGAGTAGAAAAATAATGTTTTTTGCAGACATGCAGGGCTTGAAGAACCACGAGGGATTTAAAAGGCATCTTTGTATTGCGACCATCAGAGAATTAGGTACCTTACTTTCCCCTGTGAAGCCCTTCCATGCGTTATATAGGGAGCCTATTTTCCTAAACCCCAAACCCGACAACCTAGGCTTAAAGTAGATGCCACTCCCTCCACTGACGCGATGGCAGCATGCTGCTATTTCTCGCTCCGGAGCCTTGTGCCCTTGCTGGGCTTTTATATCCTCTTCGTCGTCCTGCAGACGCATCATTGGCTGTTTCTGCGGCCAATGGTAGTTGCAAACTTAGACACCCGGTGGCAAAAGCTCGGAGGTCCTCGCGACTTAGCGTTCTACTTCCAGACAAACCAGGTGTCGCCCCGCATGGAGTTCTCGATTCTCGGTAGCCCAGTGGTGCCCTTTTCCCTTTTTTGGGGTTGAAGGTTCCCTGAAAAGTAATCAGCCCAAAAAAGGGCGCCCGTATTTGCAACATGGTTACTGGGCTACCAAGGATTCAGAGCGTCCGGCAGGTGTTCCCAGAGGCACCTTTCTACCTTCTCAGCGATGGAGGGCCAAGCTTCCAGCACCTGGCCCAGAAGTGGAACGTCTCTGCTTTTCACTCTGACGTGAACATGCATCTCGACAGGAACCTGAACTCGAACTTCACCTGCCGCAAGCATCTGGAACGCCTGGCTGTGGCAGGGCGCTGGGCGAAGGAAGAAGGTGCCAAGTATTTGATGATTTGGGAGGAGGACACGCGGCTCCTGCGGACGTTCGATGCGGTCCCCGACGCTGATGTCATCAGCATGGGGAATGTTGGGAATATGCACGTGGCTTTGCGGTTCTCTACTGTAACTTTAGATCTTTGGCCTTTTTGGGTTCATTGGGTTTCTTAATTAGGCAGCTTAAAATTTTATTTATAGCTACCCTCCTAAGTGCAGCCAAGGTGGGAGCCTTCCACCCAGAGGCTCTGGAGATCTTGTCCCGCAAGGCGCCCAAGGACTTGCAGCCGGGCGATGAGCGAAGGAGTAGAGTAGGCAACCTTTTAACCTTTTTTGGGGTATTCGAATCCCTAAAAAACAACCCCTAAAAGGTGAGCCCTTATCTCCCCTAGGTTGCTGGATAACTCAGGATGCGAAACCCTAAACCCTAAACCCTAAACCCTAAACCCTAAACCCTAAACCCTAAACCCTAAACCCTAAACCCTAAACCCTAAGCCCAGAAGGATGCGCATGTGGCGGCAGTATGCCGCAAGACACGGCTACTCAAGCGGCCCGGGGAGCACCTCTATTCCCCTTGGGAATCTTTTTTTTTTTTTTTTAAATAATTTTTGTTTACAGTATATAAAACCCAAGAGGATATTAAAGATATTATTTTGGACTTTTGTTTATATAAAGCCCAAGAGGATATGAAAGATATGATGATTATTCTTCTTATTATGATTAAGGTTCTAAGGGAAGTATAGGCACCTGGAAGATCAGCTCCCTGCTCAAGGGCCTGCAGAAGGCTGGAGATGATCCCTTGGATGACACTCGGCTCGGTGCGTTACTGTAACTTTAGAGTTTAGGGTTTAGGGTTTAGGGTTTAGGGCTTAGGGCTTAGGGTTTAGGGTTTAGGGTTTAGGGTTTTGGGTTTAGAGGGCTTCTGAATAAGGCAGCTTATGGCTACCCTACTAAGTGCAGCCAAGGACATGTACCAGGTTCAGGACATGTGCTGGGAGGACTTCGCCCTGTCCCAGGGGCAAAGTGTTCGGCGCACGCCCCACGTGCAGCAGATTCTTGGCTTTCTTCTGGCTGGCTCTTAGGACATGGGTTTAGGGTTTAGGGTTTAGGGTTTAGGGTTTAGGGTTTAGGGTGTAGCACGGGTCAGCTGTACGCAGTTGTGTGCAGACATGCCCACCCCAAGGCCACCCAAACACTACTTGCAGCGAAACAAACCAGAGCCAGCCGAACCAAAGCCAGCCCACATTCAAACACTCCTGCACTCAATGCTGTACTTCGGACTAGTATCCAATATGTTTCTTGATGTTACGAAATTTGCTATGAAGATGCCTTGCTGCATGGTAACATTTAAGAAGCTGCCCTAGAAACAGAACCTCCGGAGATAAAATTCAGATGTTGCGTTGGGGGACGTCTTCGGCCGGGTGGCCTTCTCATTGCTTCTATTCTCCATGCCGGGGTGGTAATATCGAAGAAGATGCCTTGAAAAAGACAGTGGAAATAAACCCGGCAGAAAAGTCAGGTTTTGCGCTGGGGGCGCATGGTGAGCGCATGGTGAAAGACCTGTTGCTAGAAAGGTGCCTTGTGAAAGTCATGTCTAGAAGCTTACAGGAGAAAATTCAGGTTTTGCGCTGGGGGACGTCTTCGGCCGGAGGGCCTTCTCATTGTTTCTGTTCTCTGACCGGAGTGTCAAGGCTGCATGGCGAAAGACCTGTTGCTGGAAGGGCGCCTTGTGGAAGTCGTGTCTAGAAACTTGCAGGAGAAAATCCAGGTCTTGCGCTGGGGGACGTCTTCGACCGGAGGGCCTTCTCATTGTTTCTATTCTCTATGCCGGTGTGTGTGTGTGTGTCTAGAAGCTTGCGAGAGAAAATTCAAGTTTTGCGTTGGGGGACGTCTTCGGCCGGAGGGCCTTCTCATTGTTTGTATTCTCTAGGCCGGAATGTCAAGGCTGCATGGCGAAAGACCTGTTGCTAGAAAGGTGCCTTCATAGAAGCTTGCAGGAGAAAATTCAGGTTTTGCGCTGGGGGACGTCTTCGGCCGGAGGGCCTTCTCTTCTGGACGGCCCGGGATGCTCCAGGACAACCTTTTTGGCGGCCCCGGGACAACCTGTCCCGGGGGCCCCGGACAACCCGCAAAATGGCCCGTTAGAAGGCCAAGGCAAAGAAATGGTCCGGAGCCCAACAGAGGCTCGGCTTGGCACAAAAAAGCTCCATTGTGAAGGCAAACTTTCCCCTTCAAGGGGGGGTCAGAGTTTTGACCAAGGGGGGGTCTCCAATACTGTTTTGCTTTGAAAATGGAAAAATGCGACCCCCCCGTGACCGACTTCGGATGGGGGGGGGGGGGTGTCCGTTTCAAAGGCCCGGGGCCCCCCGAAATTGAATTCGGAAAGGGGGGGGGGGGGGTATCCTGTTGAAAGCCCGGGCAGCCCCAAATTGACTTCGGATAGGGGGGGGGGGGGGGGTATCCGTTTTAAAGGCCCGGGGGCCCCCCCGAAATTGAATTCGGATAGGGGGGGGGGGGGGGGGGTATCCTGTTGAAAGCCCGGGGCCCCAAATTCACTTCGGATAGGGGGGGGGGGTATCCGTTTTAAAGGCCCGGGCCCCCCCGAAATTGAATTCGGATAGGGGGGGTATCCTGTTGAAAGCCCGGGCAGCCCCAAATTCACTTCGGATAGGGGGGGGGGGTATCCGTTTTAAAGGCCCGGGCCCCCCCGAAATTGAATTCGGATAGGGGGGGGTATCCTGTTGAAAGGCCCGAGCAGCCCCGAAATTGACTTCGGATAGGGGGGGGGGGTATCCGGTTTAAAGGCCCGGCCCCCCCGAAATCGAATTCGGATAGGGGGGGGGGGTATCCGTTTTAAAGGGCGACACCTTCCGAGAGCAAAGGCTCGGTTTTAGGGTAATGTAATATACTAGAGACTATGCTTGGCGACCAAGCTTGGCGACCCCTTCAGGGGTGTGCCTGCAGGCCCGATCAGCCGAGATCGGGCCTGCGTGGTCTCGCTGAGCGCTCGACGGCGCCCACTCACCTCTAGAGTGAGAGGGGTGGTGGGCGGGTTTAGGGTTTAGGGTTTAGGGTTTAGGGTTTAGGGTTTAGGGTTTAGGGTTTAGGGTTGAAACTACAATAACGAGCCTAAAAGTTAAGCTTTTAGGAGGGGTTCAGAAGACAGCCAAGGATTGTTCATAACTTTGGGGACATTGACCAGCGCTCTTCGGACTGGCATCCCTACCGGAACCTCTGGTGCTTGTCTTGCCTGGATAATTGCAAGACGCAGTGCCAGTGCGCCCCCCCTTTCTCAGCACGTGAGAGTTCCTTGGGGACGAAATGAACCCTAAAATTGGGGCCATATACCCTTTTCTACTGTATATCCTATTAAGGTATATGAACCCTAAACCCTTTTAGGGTTCATTTCGTCCCCAAGGTTTCCGCTACAAATACCTCGAGGTCGTGTCGCTCTTCTATCCAACCTGGTCTTCGGAAAGGCGGCAGGACATGCTCTGGAGCCGGCCATGCCGCGCCTGCGAAGTGGCCGGATGCTGGGAGACTTGGTAGCCCAGCTGGTACCCTTTACCAGGGTTTAGGGTTTAGGGCTTTAATGGGGTTCAGGGTATGTGTTTCTGGGTTCCCTTATCAAATAACCTGGCCAAACAGGGTGCCCTTATTATAGTATGTTACTGGGCCACCAAGGAGAGCTGCAAAGCCGGCTGCTCCACCTTGTGCCCGGCGGTCGTGCATCCGCACAAGGGGACCACCCTGGACTGCTACGCCGCGCCCGTGCCTTCGTAGCTGCCCAGCACACAACTCCGGGTTTAGGGTTTAGGGTTGAGGGTTTAGGGTATAGAGTTTAGGGTTTAGGGTTTAATTAGGGAGAAAGAAGCCGAGCAGGCTTTTCCATTTCTTGCGGGGAGTGGGGCTTTCCGCTTCTTGTGGAGTGTCCCCTAAACCCCAAAACCCTAAAGCCTCAACCCGCCATCCAAAACCCTAAACCCTAAGCCCTAAACCCTAAACCCGAAACCCGAAAACCCTGAACCCTAAGCCCGTTCTGGCGAACCGTTGCTGGCTCTGTCATGACCTAAGCCCTAAGCCCTAAACCCTAAACCCTAAGCCCTAAACCCAAAACCCTAAACCCTAAAACCTAAACCCCAAACGAAGAGGAAGAGAGATTCCAGCCCCTGATCGGCCCAGATCTCGTCACTAGGACCCAGAGTGGGCCGTAACTCTTTGGGGCATAGCTTCCCTCTTAAACCTCTTTCAACAGAGAAGGGTTTAGGGTTTGGGTTTTAGGGTTTAGGGTACCTTCTTTATTCCTATGCTACTCTGGGATTTTCGAAAAAAAGCCCCAGCTCCCTGAACAAAGCCTCTGCATCCTGTGAGCCCGCAACCCCAAACCCTGAGTCCTAAACCCGAGAAACCCCAAGAAGCCCTATCATTCCTCGCCGACAAGCCTTCACCAAGAATCCTAAACCCCAAGCCCTGAACTTCAGAACAAACCCTGGACCCTAAGCCCGAAGCCCTACACTCGAAGTTCTGAGCCCTGGCTCCTAAACCCTAAACCCTAAACCCTAAACCCTAAACCCTAAACCCTAAACCCTAAACCCTAAACCCTAAACCCTAAACCCTAGACCCTAGACCCTAGACCCTAGACCCTAGACCCTAAACCCTAAACCCTAAACCCTAAACCCCTAAAGCCCTAAAGCCCTAAAGCCCCAAAGCCCTAAAGCCCTAAAGCCCTAAAGCCCTAAAGCCCTAAAGCCCTAAAGCCCTAAAGCCCTAAAGCCTAAACCTTAAACCCTAAACCCTAAACTAAGCCCTTAGCCCTTGCAGCGAGCAGGGGAAGTTGGCCCTGGAGTTTGGAAACGTGTTGCAAGAGCTTTGGGCAGGCGATAGCAGCGTGGCCCACAACTAGCCCAGGGTTTCCAGGGTTTTTGGGGGGTTTTAGATTTTTAGGGTTTAGGGTTTTAGGTTAGGGTTTTCCGGTTTTTAGGGTTTCCAGGATACTTGTTTTGGGCGTTTATATAGTTTATCTGTTTCTTTTTTGGGGTTTTAGGTTTTTTAGGGTTTAGGGCTTAGGGTTCAGGGTTTGGTTTTTAGGGTTTAGTTGGCTGTAATGTTTCTCTTTTTTCTTGGGGAAGAGTTTGGGGTTTTGAAGGATCAGTTTGGTATTCTTGTTGTTTTCAAGGGGGGAGGTTTTAGGGCTTTTCGTTTTTTTTTTTTGGTTTTGTTTTGCCTTTTTCTTCTGGGGTGAGGGTTTAGGGTTTGGGGTTCAGGGTTTAGGGTTGAGGCTTAGGGCGTACGGTTTGAGATTTCGGGCTTTAGGACGTCGGGTTAAGCGGTTTAGAGTTGATCGAGTTTAGGGTTCAGGGTTTGGAGTTGCAAAATGTTGGAAGAGCGAGGGTTTAGGGTTTGGGGTTTAGGGTGTAGGGTTTAGGGTTTAGGGCTTGGGGTTTAGTGTGTAGGGTTCAGGGTTTAGGGGTGCTGGGGGTAGGGAGGTGTCCAGACTTCGGCAGGCGCCTAAACGACAAACTCCCGGAAGGCCAACAGCATCCCTTTCCAAGAAAACCCTAAACCCTAAACCCTAAACCCTAAACCCTAAACCCGAAGCCCGAAGCCCCAAACCCGAAACTCAAGCCTTAAACCCTAAACTCGCCCCAAACCCGAAACCCTAAAACCCTAAACCGTAAGCCCTAAACCCTCAAACCCCAAACCCAAACCCTGAGCCCTAAAAACCCTAAACCCGAATTCCCAAGCCCGAAACCCGACACCCGAAACCCTCCCGAAACCTTAAACTCCAAACCCTAAACCCTAAACCCTAAACCCTCAACTCTAAACCCTAAACCCTAAACCCTTTAACCCCAAACCCTCAACCCGAACCGGCTTCCCAGGCGTGCACGTGAGCCCCCGAGACCTGAAGCGGACCATCGACCAGCTCCTTGCACCCGGAAATATTGGGGTTTCTTCTGGGGTAGGGTTTAGGGTATAGGGTTTAGGGTTGAGGGTTGAGGGTTGAGGGTTTGGGGTTTGGGGTTTGGGTTTTTTAACTTGGGTTCAGGGTTGAGGATTTGCGGGGGTTCAGGATTTTGGCCGGCAGTATGGGCCGTAAATCTGGAACCTTACAATACACGCATGTCCCATTAGACACGATGACCCCTACTTCAGAACTCTCTAACAAAGGAAATGGCCTTTGGGGGTTTACGGGTGCAGGGTTTAGAGCTCAGGAGGAGAGGGGCCAGAGGCTGAGTTCGGGCTTAGCTTAGCAGGCCAAAATTTAAACCCCAAACCCTCAACCCTGAACCCTGCACCCTAAACCCATCCCCGATCCTTTCGGTGTAGGGTTTAAATGAGTTCCGGGTTTTTGCTCGAGCTGCGCGCAAAAGACCCCAAGTCACAGGGCTCATGTTTTCAAGCATGCCTCCCCCCCCCCCCCCGCCCGCAAAGAAAAACAGAAAATACAAATATTCATCATCACAATAGCAATAATTAAGAGTAACAATACTGGCAATATAGTACCTGCTAATAATAGTAGTCATAGTAGTCATGCGAATAATAATAATAATAGTAATACAAAAAGGAAAAATAATCATAATAATAATAATACTCTTGTCTTATTGAAGGTTTGAAGCGTTTTTCATGGTCGGAATTGAAGGCGGCAGCCGCACTTACTGCCGTTGCGCTTTGAGACCTCCTAAGCCCTAAACCCTAAACCTAAACCCTCCCCTAAGCCCCAAACCCCAAACCCTAAACCCTAAACCCTAAACCCTAAATCCCCGAAGCAACCCTAACATTCTTCAACAGCAAAACCACCACGCAACAGCGTCCCTGGGTCGAATCCTCCACGCACCCCTGTAGCCCTATATGGGCTCTCATAGGGTTAAAAGGGTTTTTTGGGTTTTTCGAGTTTATAGGGTGTAGGGTTGAGGGTTTAGGGAGGATACCCTAAATAACCCTCCCCTCGCATGCCTCCCCCCCCCCTCAAACCAGGTACTCTCAAACTATCACTTAAAAGGTATACAGGTCCAGTCGAAGCCCCTCCAACAAGTCTCCCAAAACCGCAAACCCAAAACCGAACCCCAAAGCCTAAGCGCAAAGCCCTACACCCAAAACCCGCAACCATAAACCGCAAAGCCTAGACGAAACCCGAAACCCTAAACCCCCAAACCCGAAACCCTGAACCCCAACCCTAATTAAAGCAGAAGCGGCCGCTGAAGAGCCCAGGTTCGCGCCGCAGTTCGCGGGCTATGAGCAGCACGATGCGCAGGAACTTCTTCTTTGGCCATGCACACTTGCGCCCTTTCAAAACCCCCAGTTTTCAACCCCGAACCCTAAACACTAAACACTAAACCCTAAACCCTAAACCCTAAACCCCTTAACCCCAAGCCCCAAACCATAAATCCTAAACCCTAAATCCTAAACCCCAAACCCTAAGCCCCAAACCATAAATCCTAAACCCTAAATCCTAAACCCCAAACCCAAAACCCTAAACCCCAAACCCTAAGCCCTAAGCCCTAAGCCCTAAGCCCTAAGCCCTAAACCCTAAACCCTAAACCCTAAACCTAAACCCTAAACCCTAAACCCCTCCCCCTCCAACAGGAGTTCTTGGACTTCATCCTCGAGGGCCTCCACGACGACCTCAACCGCGGAGCTCCCGCAGGTCGGGCAGCTGTTCATAGGGTTTTTTAGAGTTTTTTTGTGGGGTTTTCAGGGTTTTTATAGGGTTTTTTAGGGTTTTTTTTATAGTATAGGGTTTATAATGGGGTTTCAGTGTTTTTTTTTTGGGGGGGGGGGGGGGGGGGGGTTCGGGTTTTTAGGGTTCTTATATGGTTTTCAGTGTTTTTAACAGGGTTTTTAGGGATTTTAGTTTTTAGGGTTTAGGGCTAAGGGTTTTGGGTGATTTTAGGGTTCAGCGTTTAGGGTTTAGGGCTTTGGGGGCTTTTCGGGGTTTTTAGAGGTTTTTGGGGGCTCCGGGTTTTAGGGAGTTTAGGGGGTTTAGGGGTAGCAGGGCGTTGGGTTTTTTTTTAGGGGGAGTTTAGGCTGGGATGTTCCCCTTTATACTAAGAGTCCTTAATGGGGATTATCGTACCCCTAAACCCTAAACCCTAAACCCTAAACCCTAAACATATTGAGGGCTTTTTTCGATAAGGGGAGCATCCCAAGGTTAGGGTTCAGGGCTTAGGGGGGCTTTGTAGGATTCATTGGGTTTAGGGGATTTAGGGGGGTCTAGGGGTCGGGTTCATGGGGTTTAGGGGGGGGGTTGGGGGTTAGGGTTTCGGGTTTCGGGTTTAGGGTTTCGGGGGCTTACCGGGTTTATTGGGGGGGGTTTTAGGCTTGCGGGGGTTTAGTCTAGGCGGTTTTAGGGTTTAGGGGGCTTCGGGGAGTGTTCGAACAGGGTTCAGGCTTTCGGGGGAATTGGGGTTTAGGGCCCATGTTCAAGGGTTTTAGGGTCTAGGTTGTCGAGTTCATCGGGGGTAGGGTTTAGGATTTATGGTTTCGTTCATTGTTTGTTTCCTTTTCCGTTAAAACAATTATGTTTGCGTTTCATGTTTTAGTACGTTTTG